ATAAAATATTTTTTCACATTTTATCTGAGACGAAAACGTCTTGTATATGGTTACAGTTACGATGACGTCGCACGATAGTAAATATGGCTTCCTGTTGACGTTCGTAGTTTGTTCGTAGTACGCCGCGTGTGACGTCATCCGCGGCGTAAAGGCGGCCTATGACAGAATCAGGGTTTTCCGCGCGGTTTTGAAAATTTAAACTTCAACTTTGATTTTTATTGATCAACACAGTAAATTTCCCCGAAACATTAACTTAATGTGCTTATTATGTAATAAAGAATAATTTAAAACGCTTTTCAAAATTACTTAAATACCCTATTTGACATCGATGAGCGATATCGCACGAATCACGCGCCCTTATAAAATGTATGCAGAATCGCAAGTGTTTCTTTACCCATGAACACAATCTTTCAAAAATTAGTATCTATTTATTTTGGCAATAATTGGAAGATACTACAACAAAAAACCAACAAATATTCAATATGTTTCAGCACTTTATCTTTAAAAACTTAAAGAGTTGTTATTAATCCAATCCATTCCAATTTGTAATACAGATAGAAAAAAGGAAATATAAATAAGCATTTGCAGTCGTTAATTCCCTGCAATCTGCATTGGGTCAACGTTTAAGTTCATGGTCCATCCTCCTTACCACCATCTATAACGAAGGCCTAAACCCTTGCAATACAGAGTTAAATGGGCTGATGATTAAATAATATTTCTATTTACAGTGTAACATATTTTTTTCAATAAACGACTTATTTCATTACACATATATCTTATGGCCATATCATATGCTCGGGAAACGCATTCCCTGGCATAAAACTTCCAAATATGTCGGCGAGACGCTCGACCAAAGGCCCGACCTTATCTATTTCGACTCAGCCCTATGCTGAGCCGACATAGTAAAATGTCACTTAGAAAAAAAGCGAACGCTTTACAAGGCCTGCATACGTCCGGTAATGACATACGCCTCCACCGTATTCGCCCACGCCCTCTACAAATTGTAAATAGTGCAAAATCTTTTCTGACGCCGAGCGGCAAACGTTCGTATTACATCCGTAACACGGATCTCGAACTTCCCACTATTCAACAGTGGTGCATCAAGTCCTCTGAACGTTTCTTCAAAGCTACAGAGGACCACTTCAACCCCCTAATACGTTCTGCCGCCTACTCCTCCCCTCTAACCCGTAGGCCCAAATTGGTTCTCACCGATCCACCGTGGAAAATGGTAGAACAAGAGCATATCAAAAATACTTTTTACGAATATCATAATTTGTTTAATTTGGTGATTTTATTAGGATCTCAAATAATCGAATTATAATATTCATTAAGTTTTTTTATCGAAAATGCACGAAGGTACATTTTTTCATAGGTAGAAGTACATAGAAGACTGGAGTGCCGAACTCGAGTCTTCGCATATACATGTTTCAAAACCATATTGTGCAAGATATATTGGGTACATATATGCAGTATTATACATTTTTGGAAAGGTTATTTCATGCTTATTACGTTACAGCGTACAGTACAGCGTTTTAATTTCTAAAGCAGCGACAATTATGTCAGTAAGTAATTAAAAAGTGGCATACCTTATTTTTTACTTTTCTTTTTTTTCGTCTAAGGTTTTCAATATTACCCACGACTCCCCACGCGCAACTTTTTATGTTAATTGATAGTCTAACTATTCAGTAACAGAATACAAAAATAAAAACAGTTGCGGAAGTTTGCGGTTTTAGAAAATATAAGAAATAATGTGTGAAAAGTCGGAACATAAAAATCAGTATCTTTTGCGGTTTACCAGACACCGTTCACAAGGACAATAATTATATTACTTTTGGAATATTTTATTTGTTTAGCGATAACAAAGGAATCTTATCAAATTTGCACTCGTAATGCGTGAGAAACTACTAGATAATAATTATGTGGGTACCAATTTGATATTGGAATATGGGTATATAAAGGGAAGCAAAAACTATTCGAGCCATCTTCATCGGTGTAACTTCAAGTGAAGTAAAGCTCATCTACGCCTCAAATTTCCGCAAATTGTGAAGCATTAAAATGTCTTCCTTTAGCTGTATTAAACGCGAATTTATTATCCCTTATATCGAGGGCGGCAGGACCATAAAATCATTATCCAAAGTTTTAGTGGAAAGCCTCAATGTTTCTGAAAATAAATTGTGTTTTATTGTTAGTGATATACAAAGGCATATTCTTCCTACATTCAACAAGCGATGGGACCAAGCATCTCGCAAAAAAGAAACATTTATAAAGAAGAATGGTGTTTTGTACATTTCCCGGACTCCGAACAAGATTCTACGCCATCAACATCTGCCCAGAGAGGTGACTACGGGCTACGGGCTACGGGCCTTAGGTGAGCACGAAGAAGCTCATCTTGTAGAAGAATTAAGAAACGCTGACACTCAAAAGAAATTTGACCTTCGTAATATGTGGAATAACTTAGACCAGATGAAGACTCTTTCCGATGAGGAACCATTGAGTGCTTTTATAGATTTGGATCTAACAAAAGCACAATACATGTACCTGAGAAACTTAACCAACGAACGAAAATGTTGCATATTCCCGCCTTACTACAAAATACAAGAAATAAAAAAATCTTGTTATCCACCATTATAAACTCTAGAAATTACAAATACTTATGCTAAAATAATTAATATTCAAGATTTGTTGGATCACACTGTTGCTAGAATTTTAAAAATCGAGTCTGTTTTCCAAGAACAATATAGAACATTGATCCTTTATTGTAAATGGGGATGTGATGGTTCATCTGGTCAAAGCCAATACAAGCAAACACTTCCAGAAGAATCGGAAACCGTTTCAGATGCTAATTTGTTCATTACTTCATTGGTCCCTATCAGATTAGTTGATAAACAGTCGGGATTTGTTGTTTGGCAAAATCCGGTACCTTCATCTGTTCGTTTTTGTAGACCCATTTCTATTGAGTTTTGTAAGGAAACTTCAGTAAAAACCAAGGCAGTTGTGGATGATATTAGTAGACAAATTGGGGCTTTACACGCATCACTTACAATGATCGATGGAAAGGTGGCTCAGGTTCTTACAGATACGCCATCTGGTTCCACATGCACGATATGTGGGGCTACTCCACGGCTAATGAATGACCTATCGAAAGTAATTGTCAGACCTGAAAACGAAAGCGCCTACCAATACAAATTGTCCACCTTACACGCCTGGATTCGCTGCATGGAAATGATATTGCATATTTCCTATAATCTTTCCTTTAGGACTTGGTCTGCTTCAGCTGAAGAAAAAAAGAGATTAAAAAAAGAAAAGAAGGAACTCGTTCAAAAACGATTCAGGGAAGAGTTGGGATTAATCGTCGACAAACCTCGGCAAGTTAGCGGGAATACAAACGATGGTAATAGGTACCGCACGAAGATTTTTTTTAATTACACTTGCTCAGCGGAAATTACGGGTGTAGACGAAATATTTATTAAACGCCTGTATATTATCTTACAAGTTCTATCTCCTGGAAAGATGATTGATTCCCAAAAAGTTTGGAGTATATGCAATAGAAACTGCAAGAATATATGTGAGTAATTATGATTGGTATTATATGCCCTCCTCCGTTCATAAAATACTCATACACGGAGAAAACGTTATCAAACATTTTGCAGTGCTTCCTATTGAGCAGCTGTCGGTAGACGCACAAGAGTCTCGCAACAATGACTACAGAAACATGCGACTTCATCATGCCAGAAAATGTTTCCGGTCTGCAACAAACGAAGATGTCTTTAAAATGCTTATGTGCACGTCAGATCCATATATAACAAGTTTAAGAAAACCATACTTAAGAAATGTAAAAAATCTTGAACTAGAGGCAGTAAGTCTTTTAAAAGTGGTACCTGAAAGTGAACGCACGCTTACTGACCCTGATCCTGAAGCATGTCTATGACATATAACATATATATATATATATATATATATATATGTGTGTATATAGAAAAACACTACAAATTATACATCATTTGAATTTTCAAACCTCACTGAATATTTGTACCAATTTTCATTGCGGTACAACAAAAAATCAAGAAGTTATAAATTTTTGATCCGATAACGACCGATTCTACCCACCGTGCGATCCCCCGATCAAACTTTCTGCCGACCTGAAGGCTTTGCTCTCCGCCCTCCATACTCCGACCCTTCAGGTTCAAGCCCATCTGCTCTGGCTGATCGTTCCCCTTCAGGGAGTTAGCTGTATTTCAATCCGATAAGCCTAGCCGTTAACCCTCTAACATCTCAATGTCACATTTCATGTAAGTGAATGTGACGTCTGAGCCGCGTGCCCGCTTACGGAGAGGCGGTCGCTCCGGTTAAAGGTTCGTTGCCTCCTCAAGGCACGCAACCAACTGTCCAAAGCGGTGTTTAGTTAGTATGAGTCTGACATAACCTAATAGGCGGCTGTGTGGCATCCAGTGAAGGATTCACTGCCTCCTTCCCCCGCTGGGAAGGTTTCCCCAAGGTTGAGAGCCAAAAAAAAAGTTTTAACTGTAGAAAAGAATCTCGTTTTGTATAACAGTATCTTGAAACTTATACAGCCTCAACTCTGGAGACTGGCTAGCGATAGTAACATAATGTGCATACAAAGAGCTCAAAATAGTATCTTCAGACCCATTGTTAATGCATCATGGTTCACATGAAACTACAAAATACTCCAGTATCTGAATACCCCCACTATAACTAGACGAAATTTTAAATTACAAGAAATGTTACTCTTTAAAGACTCACCCAAAACTTATTGTCTACCAAATTGTTAAATAATGTGGACTGTCAACCATCTTAAGAGAAGCAATATAATTTAGTAGGCAAACTGAAGTGATGACAACATTTCCCTAAACACCTTTCTTTGCATCCAAATAATCCTGCGAGATGAATTGCTTAAAAAAATGCTTAAAAAATCCACTTGATCCCTGGCACTCTCAGTATAGCATTGTGAATGCAAAATTGATTAAATATAATAATGCTTAACAAATCCACTTCGTCAATCTGATTTATGATGGAGTATAGGGAAATAAGACTGTGAAGGGAATAAATACTAAAGTAAGTTTTTATTTAATATTTTACAATATCTAATTTTTTCAATCCCATTTTGATTTTTTCTTCTCAAATATCTCTTTACCCTCTTTATCAACAGCAGTATAATATCCCATTGACTCATATTTACTCCTCATGTAAGCAATGTATCCTAAGGTGATGCCAAAACATGTTAGTCCTATAGTCATAATCACAATGTTCTGAAAGAAAACACAAATGGTAGAAAATATTGTAGGTAGAAATATTCGAAATAGGTACTGTAACAGTAATAGCGATTGTTGACTCCTGTGGCCAAGTGGCGCACACACACAAGGTGACGTCATCTCTGCAGGTCCCAGGCTTAATCCTCAGTTGGCTCAATGTAAGAAACAATTAAGAAGAAATAATAACATTTTCTCGGGTAAGCAATGTGATGTCTTTCTTTGAATTAAAGCTATCTTAAAATATGATATATTCAAAATGTTTTTGTAGGAGCTCAAGGGTGCAGTGGCTGCTTATTCAACTTTTGTAAGTGCCTTTGTTTCAAAAGGTTGGGCCCATTCTCCCTATCAGAGAATTGTAAAAAATAACATAAAATGCATGCACTACGCGTGCTGATTCGGTAATAAAAGTGTGTCCAATATAGGATAGTACAACAGCTTAATATAGATAAAATCTTATTGTTCGCTATCAGAAGTAGTACATATAAATTATTTCTATAATTAGGTATATTTACCGGTTTTGCGTATAACTCAAAATTGATGACCCTGAAAGCAGTAGTGGATTGCATAGAACGAATTCCTTCACCGGGTTTAGGTTTAGAATCATTGTTCATATTGGATACCTACTTAATTAGAAAGCTACTGTTCAAAAATTGTTTATCGGAGTAATAAATTTACAGATATATTAATAATGATAGGTATATTAGTTTAGTAATGATATTAGTAATGATAGATATATTAATAATGATATATGACAAACAATCTTCAGTCCACAGACTTATAAAGTAGGTACCTATAAAAAAAATTAAAAACACTGAAAAAAGCAAACTCTGGCTGTCAGATGTGTGGATGTGACAGAGTACAGTCAGTGTCAAGGACGACAATAAGAAACCAGTGTTACCAACTCCCAAAATAACCCTAAAATCAAACTCAATTAACCCTGAATAGCGTAATCAAAAGCCCCAAAAAAGCCCTGTCCTGCCTGTCTTACCCAGAGACTTAATGGTATTGCCTAAAAAAGTTGTCTGTTCTATTAAAGTGAATGAAATAGACTTCAGTTTTAATTTAATTAACTTTATTAGCACAGATCTTAGTTTTAATTACTTTTTAGCGACAATGTAGATCTTTCATGTAATATTTAAATTATTAAAAATCTACATTATCAATAATTGTTAATAAGTTGTGTAGATCCCGACTAGGCATTTGATTAGAGCTTTCGCAATTTTTGGAAACATATATGTTTAAATTGAACTATTGTGACATTTTTGGAGATAGGGTAAACATTACGCATGATGGTTACAGATTCGGGAACCTCCATACAATCAGAACAACCTATCCCTACACCAACCGACAAGCTGCACTGACGGCCAATATTCGTCTTTTCAATCACCGGCACTTTCATAGTGGCCTAAGTTCCTACATTCATCTTTTCTTTCGGTAATTTGAGCGAGTAATTTTCCTCCCTCAATTTGTCTCTCTCCCTTTTCAAAGATCTCTTCTCTCAACCTATTGACTAGGCCGCCCGAATTCCTAAAGAAGTCGTCCATTTCTTCAACCATAATCCACAAGTCGAGCGCTGTATCAGACAGCTTGCGAAATTCCTGCCGAACACCCCCATAAGACCCTACCAAAAATTTGTCCACACTACTCGTCACAAGCTTATGATGGTGCCAACTCCTCCCATGTCCGTACTCGTGAGTCTACCTACTAAGTGCGACTGCCAATTTTCCAAGCCTCTCCGTACTAGTGTTGTAAAAGAACTGAGTCTTTTAGTCCTAATATTGATACTCGAGTCTTTTTTGAAGACTCAAATCAAAAAAGAGTAAGTTAAAGCTCAAGCCTCTCTGAGTTTTAAGTCTTTTTAAAATAGACTCCAGTCTTGCCAAAGAGAACTCGAGACTGAATATTTTAAAAGAGCTCACTCTTTACAAAAAGAACTCCAGACTAAGTCCTTTAAATAAAAACTTAGCTTTCCTAAAAAGAATTAGCGACTGAATCCTTTTAAAAAGAGTTCAGTCTTACGAAAACCTACCTACACTTATAATTACAATGCGAGCTACACTGTGCGCTTTGTGATCGTGTTTCTAAGACCAAATTTGGATTCGCTACCCACATTCGAGCACGTCACAAAGACCAGGGGCTCTATTTTTGAATCATTCGTCTCGCGTCGAGCGCTCGTTTTCTACTGATTTTCGTTCGACTTAACAAATTCGCCATTTCTAAATCGCTCGACTGCAACGAGTGGTATGAACCACTCGTCGCTTAGCGAACGTTGTATGCGAGTGATAGAAGAAAACGAGCGCTCGACGCGAGACGAATGATTCAAAAATAGAGCCCCAGGTACGCCATCACCGGACACGAGTCTTTTTGATTGGACTGCATTCCTGCTGTATAATTCATACGACTTAAAAGAACTTAAAGGACTGAAAAAAAAACGAAAGGACTTAGAATAAATCTAACGACTCAAGTAATTTTAGGACCGAAAGAACTGAGAAGGCTCAAAAGAACTCAAGACTCAAAACTCAGAAGACAAATTAGTCGTGAGTTCTGCAAAAATAACTTATAGTCGCAAAATTAGGACTAAAAGACCAGTTCTTTTACAACACTACTCCATATACTCAATTATGGCATCTCCCTCAAGATTAAAATTGGGATCCAGGAGGGTTGTCATGGAGAAATCAAGAAAGTATCGTAACAACATCTATTGTTGATTTCAGGAACTAATGTTTTTTTTTGTACGTCCTCATTACGTACCTACATCACTTTTTCCTCTGAAATTGGATATGGTATTTGTACATTCAGCTAACCCATAGCCTTTCACGAATTAATCATACCCATTATTACCCCAGCCAGATCAAAGTTAAGAGTTAAAGAATCAAGCGGCGTGATTATGTGTCTCCTGAGACGTACATGGCGCGTGTCTCCTTCGAGGCACACACCAAGGGCAATATTCGCCAAATTTTTCAAAGATATCAAATGATTGCTTAACATGTTTGAAGTAGTCGCATAGTACATCTTTAGCAAATATAGTTATACATACTTCGAAGTGAACTCTATTATCGATATTCACTGAGCTACATCTTAATAAGAATGAGTAGAATACCAAAATCGCGAAATGACCGGTTGCCCACAGAGCTTTGTGAACAATTTATTTCGGTTGCTAGACTAACAGAATAAGGGGGATGGAAGAGTGGATGTTTTTAGTTTTATATTGTAATCTTTTTGTGGAAATATGATTTGGACTGTTGGAAACACTACGTTTTTGTTGGGCTTGGATTTGACGATAGTTTGTAGGTTGGTGGCATAAGGTAATGCACAGATGGTTTGTCTGTGACAGAGCAAAAACAATTTATGACGCCAACTTGGCATTATGGTCTTCAGGTTATGTCAAAAATTAAATAATTTTCACGATATTTCGTAAAATGTCCATTGTTTTCAAGTGAAATTACGATAGCATCAATGTTTGTGAGTATTCGTTTTGTGTAAGTGATTATTGATTACACAATGGAATCAGACTCTGGATTGCATGGCGATATACCCGATGGCGCGGAAGTGTCGCCTTTAGCCGAAAGCCAACCATCCGATATAATCGCAGATATTTCCGAAAATAATGTTACAAGTCAAGAATCAGAAGCAACCTTGGGTGAAGAATCAGGTATGAAGCCGCATTTGTGTACTTTAATCGTACTTGACGTGAAAGAAATGTTTCTCAAGATGCACCAGTTTCTCGTTTGACGAAATTAAATTCCCTTTCTGTGCATGCTGTGCGGTTAAGGACCTCGCTTCTGCAGGCTGTTAGGAAATCTCTCTCTATATTTTTTTTTTAGTGATAGAGTAAAAGCTATTTCCTTTCCATAATGTGAAGTTATCTTTTTATATATCATTTTTAATTAATTTGTTATGATATATTAGTATCCTTCTTAACGTTGAACCCATTACCCCTTGAATCTATATCCTTTTTGTTTTTGTCCTGCATAGGTTGGGCTAATTGCTACTTAACAATAAGGATGCCTATTATAAACTTTTTTTTTAATCCAAAATGTTATTCTCAGTTACTTGTTTTCTATCGTGTGAATATAGTATCATATATATTTTCAAACCCTTACTTGTGTTCTTGTTGCAATTATTGTTGTGCCCTTTTTGAATATTACCCATCAATACAAACAACTGAAATACTATTGCATGTGTCCTTGCAACCTTAATTGAGATAGTCAACAATTGATTTATCCTAAGTAAATTGCATGACTGATCATGTTAGAGATCTATAAAGATCTATGCTCAGCAATGGGATTTGTAAGGATGATGATGAAGTTAAAGTACTACTCTTTTTATAGCAATCCATGCTTTTTTTAAAAATACATATATTACTTTGTTGTTGTACACACCTAATGGAATGTAGGATGATGCCTGGGTAAAAAAAATAATGTAATATAGTCCATCAATTAGATAATAGAAATTTTTTAAATGCATATTATAGCCTGATACAAATACGAGAAAAACGGAAATAATTCGATATAAGCCTGGAATATTTTTAATCGAGTTTGTGAGCCAATTACAAGAGACTATATTTAAGAATCCATCTCATTTTAGCTACGGAAGGTATAAAAAAAACATCAGGTCAAAAAACCTTCATTTATTCATGCAAAATTACTAACACGATTTTTTTCACAAATTTTGGTTTTATTTATCATAGCGACAATGAAAATTACTGAAATCCAACTGAAAAAATTACAGAAAATAGTGATTTTTATTAAACTTTACTTTTTACTTAATTTTTTTTTGTTGTAGTTTCATCTAATAAAACTTTTATTTAAATATTTATGAGTGGATTTTAATGATATTTAGTAGAATATGTGTTTCACTCAAAAGTTTGCTGCATATATTGCGTGTTATATACCAATATTCCCATGGAAATTTTCATTGGATTCAAAACAAAATATACTTAACGCAATATAGTAATATCGATTGAAGTTGTATTTCATTGTTTATATTATTGATTTTTTTACAAATATTTTTTAAATATTTATTGTCCGTGTTATATAAAAATATAAGTTTCCAAATATAATATTAGGAAGATTTATGTATTTCATGGAAGTAACATAAGTATCAGTGTGAAAATACGTAGAAGTCACTTTATATGTATTTTGCTTATCATGCCATTGAGAAATTAAAGGAATTTTTTTTTTTTTTTTACTAATAATCCGAAAGAAAATATTGTTGGATTAATATGAATTAATATATGAATATTAAAAAGGAAATATATAATACCCTCATAAATAAAAAAAAACAGCTGTTATGTTTTAATGTTTGATCTCCATACTGAAAGTTGGTATTTGTATCAGGCTATTATTTTTGTTTCATTTTAAACAGAAATAACTAAAAGTTTGAGTTACGTTTTCTTCTAGAGTTTGACACCAAAAGATTGAAAATATCAATATCATAAAAATAATTACTATAAGTTTTCTGCAACTCACTAGCAAATGTATTCTGAGAATAGTTGGTTTCAGTGTAAGGAACAACAAAACATGATATAAGACTAGGTATGGAAACTGGACCCTCACAATTTTGTGTCTACTTGATTTTAGCAATGCTTTCAACACTATTGATTTCGATGTTTTCATTCATACATTACACTCTCTTAACATATCACCATCAGCGATTGATTGGTATCGAAGTTACTTGTCTGATCACTGGCAGCGGGTCGGCATTGAGAATTCCTTTTCTTTGTGGTGCGATGTCACTGCCAGGGTACCGCAAGGTGGTGTTTTATCTCGTCTTCATTTTGCAGTGTACATTTATTCTATTTCATGTCAATTAGTTTCTTCTTACTATCTTTATGGAGACTTTATTTATTCTCAGGCTACTGTTGAAAAATTAATTCAGATGGCAATAATCTGGATAAAGATTTAGCTCAAATTTCTGAATTGAGTCGTAGTCACGGATTGCTGATAAATTCTAACAAAACCCAAGTTATTCAAGGTCAGAGCAAAACTTAAGTATGATCAACTTCCACAAATTGTTTTTGTGGAATTAACTTACTACTCAGTGATCAGGTTAGAAATTTGGGCATACAGTTTGACAAAAATTTTAATCGGGATGTGCAGCTCAAAGAAGTAAGTTACAAGCTTTTTGCTTCTGCAAGGTCTTTTGAAGACCACATTTTTTCCCATTGCCACTAAAATTGCGCACACATTATATGTTATTGCTCACTGAATAGTACAGTGGCACAACTCAAAAAGCATCAATTTTTTTAGCAAAACAGTTAAATCGTTTGTATTATATTATTACTGTAAAGTTTTTTATTTTTTCTTTAAATTATCTATGGGATGCCACCACTATAATGTGGCGTTTTCTCGAAATAATGGTTTTTGAGTTGTGCCACTGTACTATTCAGTGAGCGTTATGATGCCCATTCTTGATTATGCATATTTCAGCTATCTTGACTTCACTTTAAAATCTTTGCATAGCATTTAAATACGGATTACGCTAATATGATCACGTTTCTGAATTTTGTAAAAAAAATGCACGTATTCTAAAAAAGTTATTTAAGCATACTTTTCAATCTCACTCAGTTTCCTACTTATCTTAAAGATATTGTTTTTTTCTATATAAAATTTAAAATAATAGGTAAGATTCTAGATATAAATACGCCATCGTAGTGGATGGTTATTATAAGCTCATTTTAGATTTAACTTTCCCAAGGTTGCCCGGAAGAGAGCACTTCTTGCAATAAGGATGCCATTTGCACGTCTCCTTTCTACAATTTAAATTGTAGGTGTGTGTACAATCAAGAATTTTTTATCTATCTATTTGTGTTCCATCAGTATCAAATGGAGGAGCACCTACCAGCAGTAGCGACACTCTGGATGTGGAACAAAGGGAGCAGGGAGCAGCAGATGGAGAGGAGCAGTCCGGTGCAGATGAAGGTAATTTTGTTGTTTTGGTTTAATTACTGAGTATTCTAAATTGGTAAAAATCTACCATCGTCACCTCTTTTACATCCCCACTGCAAGGGCTTAGGCCTTCCTTGTAGATGGTTAAGGTTGATGGGACATACCCCTTCACCTTGACCCAATGCAGATTGGAGGGTATTAATGACTGCAAACGCAGCCGGATCAACGGTTTAACGTGCCGTCCGAAGCACGAGATAATAATTCGTTGGTCACCCATCCCGTGACCGACCCTTGTTGAAGTTGCTTAACTATAACGATCGCGAGCCGCGGCGTTTATCCACTACGCGACCGGGCTATTGATCAATCGATCAATCAAATAAAAATCTACACCTCTTTGATACTGGACTTGGAGGATGCTTGGGATAATAATGTTACATTTAAGGTTCGGGATGAAAATTAAAGCCAATTATAGTTCACAATCCGACTTTTATTTAACACAATAGAATTACAAAAATAATCGAACTACAAAACTCACACTTCAAATTCACTATTTCACATCACTTATAACACTTCACAACGTCATTAGATCGTCCGGATAGTTTGCACTGCACTAGTATTCGCTTCGAGTTTTGCTTTGGATCGCTCTCGTATTCAGTTCACTAGTCACTGAGAGAATGCTGGGGCGGGCAGTCCACCGCGTATTATAGGACTGACGAATCTTTTTATTACATTTGATCAAATTCACATTCACAATGCTATACCGAAAAATATTTATAATGAAAAATGCTTGAAAAATCCACTTGGTTCCTGGCATCCTGAGATGGGATTCGAACCCATGACCTGTCGCAATCTGGGCAACTGCTCTAACCAATGAGCTACCCAGTACCTAACAAGACTGACGAATCTTTCAAGCACTTGTTAATTTTTCGCTAGTACAGAGCGTATTCTCACTAATGTTCAGGCAATCCACCCAAACAGGCGAAATAAATTATTTTACAAATATTTAAACTTTCGATAAAGATGAAATTAAGATTATATTGTTATGTACAGCTAATGCCGAAGAAGAAATGGATATAGATGAAACTGCAGCTGGTGCAGTTGCAGATGAATCTGCATACATCGGAGATAACTGTCTGTCAACTCCGGTAAGATTTGTTTTATTCAAATACATGTTTTAATTCGTGTTTATATCATAATAATTATATCGCTCATGCTTTTATTAATTCCCTAATCGAGAAGAATTTACTAGTGTGGCCTAGTCAAAGCCATTATTTTCATTATGAATGGTATAATTACGCAGCCAACTTGCAGTTATCGGGCAAAAGCTGCAACAAAATTTTCGCACTCGTCTAAATACCTACCTGTAGTGCGACCGTCTAACTTCAGCCATAGGATATGACATTTTCACGAATTTATGGCAATATTTCGTTTCATTTTACTACCTTGACGTATCTTTTGGTGGATGAATTTGAATTAAATTATTTAAGTTGGCCATGTTGCTATCAAATCCATAATAATAATGCTTTCTCATTAGTTTGCTATTAGTAAAAACCCTATGAAAATAGTAAAATCAAATAGCCCTATGATATCGCTAAAATGTCGTAACTTATGGCTGAATCAAGGCTAGAGAGTTAGGCGGTCACTGTGCTGTTCCAAAGAGATGATAATCTGTATCTGTTAACTCTGTTGTGTTGGACTTTCCTAGTACTTAGTACATGATATTTTAAGAAATATGAGTAAATAATTTTAAATATATTTGTAACAGGAAACAGAAAGTCAACTAGATCCTATATCAAAAGAGCAAAGTTTGGATGATCCGGATGGTGCAGACGCTACCGCAGAAGAGAGTCCTGATCAATCTATAAGCTCTGCTATGCCAATTGACAGTGGTATGGGAGAAGGAGATGGAGCCCCATTAGTTCAGGATGGTAATGAAAATTATGATAGTTCATTGAGCTGTTTCTTTCTATATCTTACTAGCTTTCCGCCAGCATCTTCGCCCACATGGTCCTGAATTTAAAATATAGATCTTCCTCTTGAATCCCTCTGTATATTGATGAAAACCGCATTATTAAAAGATCACAGCTACGAACAGGGGGAAACAAGTCAGTTTTATACTATGCATGATTACATAATACCATAATGTTAACTTGGTTACGTACCTCAGGTTACCACAACTGTATAATCTGATGTGTTGTCGGCTGTACTACACAGTATGTACGCATTGGTTATTGATATTTATTAAATGTGAAAAGCTGCGATTTTTACGCTGCTAGTAGCTTTATTTAATATTTGATCTTTTTAATTAAAAATAAACCTTATTATGTGAACACAAGCATTAAATTTTAAGACAAAACCTAACTATTTATCAGCGAATCCTGGTTACTACAATATGTATATATGTCTATATAAAGCTTCCTTCTTGTATATATAAAGCTTCCTGATAAAATAAGTGGCAAAAATTGCTCACTAATTTAAAATATTATTCTTACTATGGGAATGTATATCTACAATAAACCATTACAGATGAATCTAGCACCATGGACGAAGATATGGGAGGCGGAGAGGGCGTCGCTAGTAGCGATGACGTTAATGCCATAAGTAGTGCCGCACAAGAGGTTCTCAGCACTGGCATTAGGTATGGAGATAATTCATATTGATGTGATGTGGTATTAGCTTTTCTTTTTTTTTTAATTGAGTTGATTACAGTTCAAGCACAGCTGAAAGCGGACCGGATATTTCAAGCAGCGGTCAAAGTGAAGCGACTTTGATATCTTCTACTGCCAATGGGCCAGCAGTATTACATTCATTTTCTATCACACCAGAACAGCAACAAACTAATGAGTTGGTATATTTTACTACCGAATTTCCACTATTGGAAAAATATAAAATATCATTAGATATCTGAATTTCTTTTCGTCTAGGTTTGGTGATGCTGACACTTCTGAAATGGAAGGTGCCGCCGACACTATGCCCACAGTGAGCGAATCAATGCCGCTGCTCACTATGTCAGCCAATGGATCGGCATTACTTTCGCCCACATTGATGCAGGGTAAAGTTTTTTTTGTAATGTCATCAGAAAATATCATACTATATTTCCCAGTTTTACGACAAAATCTTGATGCTAATAGAAATATTACAATTATTTAATTATATGATTTTGTTTGTGGTTTGTGTTAGATTAAAGGTTGAAACAATAAGTTGATAGTCAACCTAAGGATTTTGGGGGTATAAGGTTGCCATTTTCTGAATTAAAAAATATGACTGCACCGTTTGAGGCTCGATATTTTGCTCTAAAGCCAGACGTTACGTTTTTAATAGCCAAACACTTTTATAGAGGCGTACATATATTTTTAATCTTGAATATGACTTTTATAATAATAAGTAATCTGTTACAATTAAGACTTCCTAATTAATCACACATACCAACGCCATTTCTTTCTAAACACGTTGTTGCGCAGCTTGCATCCGTTCTACAGGCGCTGTGAGTATTGCGTTACACTATTAAAAAGCTTAATATATACATAAATATATAGCCGAACATGACTTAAAAAAAGAAACATGTTTGGCTAAAGCCAGACAGATGGTAACTCTTATGTGCAGAATAAATTGCGGATTTTATTTTTTAAATGAAAATAGAAGCTGCTAGTAATTTATTTAATTGTGTGTTTTGTTTGTATTGTTGAATGTAATAACTATGTATAAATGTAGGTATATTAACTAATATAATTCAAAATTAATACAGTAGAAAAGGGTTTGCATGGATGTAGGCAGGGAGATGCGGAAGGATATTAAAGAATAGGTCAATTAAAAACGTATTTTTTTTCTGTAATCAATAAATTCGGTTATATGTTGGGTTGAAATGACATATGAAATCACGCGTTTGTATATTTCTAGAAAACTGTGACGTAGCGAGCCCCTTACTCCTCAACTTTAATGCCTTGTTTAAATTGAAGCCAGAAAAACAAAAAAAAAATCTAATATTTTTCTATTATCTGACTGACGGATTAAATAGAATTTCTTTTTTTTATATCTAGTCTTCATTCCTATTAATAAAAGAGGAACAATCATGGAGGGAGTGTTGTTGGATGATGACAGGCGAGGAAGGCGGGGCCGGTTCGGTGTCGTCTTCGGTGGCAGCGGAGGCGGGGGCGGAGGCGGGCGCGGCGGCGGCGGCGGGCGCGGAGGCGGAGGGGGCGGTGAGCAGCTCGGGGGCGGCTAACGGGGCGCCGCCGTTGCCGCCCACCGATGCCGCCCACGCGCTCGCAACACTAGCGAGCGCCGCCCTCCACCACCACGAGCAGGTATACAATACTCATTCGATATTGTAAGTGGATTTTTATTTCCTATTTTTTCGTCCTTGTTCCTACTTTCGACATATACTGGGTATTCTTCTATTTAATTAAATCGGAGTAAAGCCTGTTATATCCCGGCTTAGTATGAGATCTAAAATTTGACTCTAATTCATTCGACGATTCTTCTTTAATAGTCGACTTAGTCATATTAAACTTCCTATTTTTCTTACTTACATCCGCCCAGACAGTGTCTGTGATCATTGAATTCTCTTCCTCACCATCAGTTGTCATTTTCCATGTGTAAATAGTCTGCTTTTAACAATTTATATTAATGTATAATAATAATAATTTTGTTTAGAGAATTTTAAAATCCGCGCTTTCTGTTTCCCGCCGAAAAGAGAATCATACAATACTCAATTGAGCAGGGGTGGCCAACTTGTTTAGACCCAAGATCGACTTTTCACTGACGACACCCAGTACGATCTATCGATTACTTAACTTCTTAAAATCTTAAATGAAACAGTATAGTTCGTACACAATTATGTAGCATTTTGATTTTATTTATATTTTTTGAATTGCCACGATCGACTGCTTGGCCACCCATGCAATAGAGTAATTCCACGGTAACTCATGTTTTATATTTGCTTCTCGAATAAAACTAACGAAGCTTGCAAACCGTATTTATATTAAGGTGGTTTCGGTAGTGAAAAGTATGTCACGAATTATGAAATTTACGTCGTAATAAACATATTCTGATTTTGTGTCTTAAAACCGCACTATTATCTTAAAATTTAAAAATCGTTTTGTTTTATCTGTGTGTCACGTGACGTAAAATACGACCCGCCATTTAGTGATGCCACTGTGGCGTCAGCTGTTAGATTATTCATAAAGATATACCTATTAATTATAAATCTAATCTGAAATATTGGTTTTAGGCCTTTTTTTAAATTAAAATAAATAGTAAGAAGTACATATTATTTCAAATAGTGTAGTATTACTTCAAATTCCCTATTATATCAATAAAACCTCTCTGAAACAAATACAACCTGTTAATGAAAATTTCGTTGATATAAGGTAAAGAATGTGGGTCTTGTATAATTTTGAATTTTCTACCTGTCTTTTTATTTCAATATAATTGTTGGTAACTCATGTTACCTTTGACGAAATTAGCTTTTAGGTTCGTATGTACCCCATAAAATTCTGTTCCCTTTAATAAAATAAAAATATATAAAAACCAAATTCATTTTTTAAAATGTCTTACATATACATATTCATTAGCTTAAATGCATATGTATTCATTAGTCATTACCTTTTTTTGTCTTTCTGTTTGTTTCGGCTATTTTAAAATGTAATTAGAAAAGGTAATATATATTTTGCAAATTTTGCAGGCCGAATCGGAAGAGCCCAAACAACAAAACGACGAAGATGCATGGTATACTGTTGGTATTGTAAAAGGAACCACATTCACGGTTAGTAGACTTAAAACGAAACTGGTATCAATATTATTGTGTTTATAATTACGTATTTAGTCTTTTTTTATCGTAATACGGTTTCAGGTCCAAAATTATATATCAGATCCGAATGTAGATTTATCGAATTTATCATTGGACAATTTGCCTGATCTAACTGGTTTGCCGACAAGTGGCCTCGAGCATGGTACTGCGTACAAATTCAGGATCGCCGCCATCAACTCGTGTGGCCGAGGCGAATTCAGCGAGGTAAGAAATAATTTTTGTTAATATAATATTTTGACTTCTTTACAATTATGACATTTTTCTTACTAAAAATTAATAATTCGACCATCCTTTCCATTCGAGTTCCTTATTTTTACCAGTTTTCCGCTAGCGGCTTCGCCCGCGTGATCCTGTATTATACATATGAACCTTCCTCTTGGATCACTTTGTATATTGATGAAAACTGTATTAAAACCCTATGTATAGTTTATAAGATCTCGCCCACTCCCGCTCTTATAAATCATACAGACAGCAGGAAGCAACTTTGTTTTATAAAATGTATAGAAAACAACATAAAAAGTAAACTTGTGCTTTAATATGGTAATTAAAGATAGGTCAATGCAATTGTTTTTATATATATATAAAAACAACTGGTATTCGTCTGTCTCGGTAAAACTCTAGAATGGCTGAACCAATTTACCTGATTTTGGTTTTGAAATGATTGTCGTAGTCCAGGGAAGGTTTAAACGGTGAGAGGTTATATTAAGTACACGGGGGGCATAGTTTGAAATAAATATCACAGTAGTCAATTAATGCACATCTAAAATATGTTTACAAGTACCTTGGTAGTCGATTTGCTTATCGATGTGTACTTCGATAACTACTTAGTATATTTTATTATACTGCCCTATCAAAAACTGTATCTGAATCAAAAGCCACCATCAGAATGAACATTAAATATTTATTGTTAAACAAAATCTTCAAAAAACAAATTCCGAGTATCAGGTAATAAAGTATAAGCCCTTTGAATTCTATTGTTATCATGAATATGCAAATTTTTAAAGGAATCTGCGTTTAAAACCTGTTTGCCCGGTTTCCCTGGGGCGCCATCGGCAATTAAAATATCCAAGTCTGTGGAGGGAGCTCACTTATCCTGGGAACCGCCTCAAGTCGCAGCTGAGGGTATCTTTGAGTATTCCGTTTATCTGGCCGTACGCTCAAATTCGCAACCTAAGGTAAGAATAATTACTGTGTAAAATCAAAATAAGATTTCAAATATCTGGAGATTGTCAAGTGTCATTTAAAAATGTGTTTATAATTTTGACCCATATATTCATGGTAATAAGAGTGCTTAGTTTTAATTAGTGCATATCTTAAACAGTGGCGTAACTATACCGTTCGATGCCCGTGGTAAATTTATCGGATATTCAATTTTTTTTACTAATTGCGTAATCATAAATGTCAGGAGTAAGGAGTCTCCTCTGATCGGGGCCCCTTCCAGCTGGGGGTCTGTGGCATTTTGCCGACTTGCCACCCTGTAGTTACACCACTGATGTTAACGGTGATCTGTATAATTTAGTTTTTCCACACAACAGCGTTTCTATAATTGTGTTTGGAATCACGAAAATGTCGATCAGAGTAAAAGTAAAATATATAAAAACACATAAAATTTGGTAATGTTTTATAATTTAGGGCTCCGTGTAAATATTGTTTTCCACCCATAGGGAAGGCCTGAGTCCCTGGTGACTAGTGGGTACAATAATATAATAAGGGGCCGTCCATAAATAACGTCACACAATATTCATGATTTTTAATAACCCCTGTCACATGTTTGTCTATACAAATTCTACTAAATATTGTTCTAATGTCACAGTTCATAACATGTGACGTGATTTATGGATGGCCCCTAATAAGGAACTAAGATATCCAATACAATAATCTGAATATCTGATGTTATATTTTTTAGTCAATTCAACATCTGGCCGTTTCATCAGGTGGCACCTCTTTACATTACTACAAGGGTTAAGATTTTATTTCCATGTCAATAAGTGATTGTCACGTGTATGTTTAGGAGGCGTCCAAATCGCAATTGGCGTTTGTTCGTGTATACTGCGGCAAAGCGAACACATGCGTTGTGCCGCAGTCTTCGTTGGGAGCGGCCCACGTGGACTCGTCTACTAAACCCGCTATAATATTCCGTATCGCCGCAAGAAACGAGAAAGGCTACGGGCCGGCAACGCAAGTCAGGTGGCTGCAAGGTATGAACCTTCAATTTCCACATGTATATTTGTTAAGAGTAGAATAACATTTGTTGAACTCATACATTATTCTGCAAAGTGTATACTATCTATCTATATCTTCACGCTTTTCCTTTGCGGGGTAGACAGAGAGGACCGAACGCGACAAAATACGGTCTTTACATAAATCTTTTGGGTCATCCACTTTCATTACTCTTTGTGCTCGCCGGTTTTTATTTATTTAATATGACCGCTGAAGGTCTATTCTATTTCTTCGATAGCTAAATTTATTAAGTAAAACTTATAAAAGAGTAAAGAGTAAAGTAACTGGTTCTAGGTATGATATCCATAGCAGAGTAACTCACAAGCCAGTTTTAAGATGTTTCTATCTTTGAGGTCCCGAATAGGATACCTGGTCTAGCCACTGGATGGAGCTACCTGAGCAATGTATAATATTGTATAATATGAAATATTCAATTATTTTTGAGGAAAACAAGGCATGCCTTAAGTGAGAAATTAATTTCAAGGTTATTTGTTTTTCATACAATTTTGTATGAATATAAATACATCTCGCATATTACTAATTATAATATTTTCAATTTTGCATTTACAATGCTATATGGATATATTGAAAATAAGCTCACAACAGAACAAAAATTTTGCACAATGACCCAGTTATTACATATCTCTTTTACTTATGCGCAATCATATTGCTATTTCGCTGGCACTCTGTTTACGATATCTATAAGTACGCTCAAAGGTCAATGTACGAAATTCTCTGTTCAGCGACCTACTCTACTCTGTTTGTATACGAACGAAATATCGACAAATTTCGGATCGTTCTTATAATTTTGTTGATACAATATCCGTGAAGATTGTCTTTGCATCAGAGGCAGTGTCAGGTCCTACCTCTATTTCATCATAAATTATCAAAAAATGGGTTTCATTAGAGTAATATTAGTGTTTCGAAAATAGACGAAATTTCGAGCTATAGCAGCAAAAGTGCTTGATAAATTCATCAGTTATTTTGCGTCCGGGGTAGTTTAATGGCAGAGCAGACGTCCGGATTGCGAAAGTGTAGTTTCGAATCTCATCGGGATAACCAGGGACCGACGATTTTTTTTGGTTTTTTTTTAAGATAAGCATATTTCTATTACAGATATAAAATCGACTGGCGTTAAACGAGCAGGCGATGGACGTCTACCAGGCGCTTCACCTTCAAAGCAACCTAAACAAATTCTACATTAAAATCTCTGAAGTTTTATTTTAAGATAGTTATGTACAGACAGACTAAGTGAACATTGTGCGATTTTACGGTTAGTACTTTTATCTATTATTGTTTTATGACATCTCACAGAACACACTTTGATAGATTATGTTCTATTTTATTTTCACCGCTGTCCTTGTTGATTTTAAAAAGAGACTATATGACTGTACATTTCCGTAAGTGTAAATGACTGATAATGAAGTGTAAGCGGATAGACTGAATGATGCTGAAAGTAAAAATGACAGTAATTATAAAATTTTTGATTAAATAAATATCGTAGAAATGATCACAGTTTATTTTTAATAAACCTATGAACTGTTATTTTCATAATAATGTGCTCGTAATATATTTCTTAAGATTAATTTTGTTGCCTATGTGTAATAAGAAATATACGCCAAATAAATATTGTGAACTATTTGATTCTCTGACAGAGGAAGGTGAATCAGAAAAAAATAACGAAATTGCATTTGGCTTTTAATACTTAATTACATATTATTGAGTACACTATACATTTGTTTCATTGCTATAAAATGCTATCTATTCAAAACTCCGGTAGGCATTCCAAAAAAAAAAAATACAAATTATTATTTATTTATACCTTTCGTTTATAGAAAACTTCCTATATTCAAGATATTTCGCGATTTATCATGATATTAAAGCAGTATCACTAAATTTATTAGTTGGACAAGTTTTAAGTTTTTTATTCTGATGATATAAATTCTCCAAACACTTTGTAGACAGTGTTGGTAGTATGGGTTACTGAAAGGAAAGAAAATTTAATATTAGTTTATTCAACTTAATCAGGTATAATACGATCAATAATATTATGCGGTGTTTCTCACCAAAGAAGTCGTTCCGAAAAGCTTGTACCATCCGATAACAATATTAGAAAGATTTAAGTCATCGAGCATAATCTGTGCTACGCCCATGAACACCTTTTTCCCTTCTATTCGTCCATAATCTCCCCAAACTGTGACCTGGAATGAATTAAATGATTTTAAATTGAATATTTCTAAAATCGTATAAGTAACAACTTTTAAATGGTTTCATCGCGTTTGTATTTTATTATGAGAACACGGAACCTGTAAGGGATCTGAAACGTCAATAAAAAAAAACGCGATGAAAGTGTTTAAAAGTTGTTTCGTCTATGTATAGTGGGCGTGAAAATATGAGAAACCGATTAACGGAATACAATAAGTCTATCAACACGGTTAAATTTCTTCTATTGTTATGAAAATGTTAGCTTTGAGTTTGTATACATAAAAATATGATTGTATACATCTAGTGGGTAGATTTTGGGAACAGGTACTGAACGAAAATAGTCTCACTCATAAGACTTCACAACATCTAGATTGGTAAACGTTATACCTACAATTATTAATTTGTATCTATATTAATTCTTGGCAAGGTCTAAAATGTTCTTATATCAAAGAAATAAAGTATGATTTGGCAATATTCAAGTTACCTGCAGAACGCATCCCTTGAAGTTTTCTCTGAAGGTAAGCGTTTGCTGGTAGAGTGGGTCGAGTGTTCGACGCGCGGTACTAGTTTTAGCTTTGGCTACACAGCGTTTGCCGCTGACCAAATAAACTTTAACGTAGGGCGCGGGTAACGTTCGACTGCCTTGTCGAGCTTGTAGGCCTCGAGCGCGAATTACTTCTACCTATAAAAAGTAACAAATGTGATGTACAAAATATTATGTTATTTCATTATCACCAGGAAAATAATTGGCTACTTGACTGTTTTGGGAAACGTGTTTTTTTTAATTTAAATTTTCTCCAAAAAGTGTCATCGAGTAAAGGAAAATCTTATTTTTATTGAAGATTTAAAAATTATCCTGCGAAAACAATTAGTCACGTGAAATTTCGAGCCGTGATGTCACATTTCAATAAACATGAGATCTGCTTCTACTCGCAACAAAGACGTTGACATTTAGTTTATTGAAATGTGACGTTACACGATGCTCCGTCACGGCCACCCGTGTTTCGGTTCTCAAAAATTTACTCGCAAATTAATTTTGTAAATATAGAATTTTCTTACGATTTATTTTAAAACGAAAATGCAGTACTATGCAGGAAAAAGTTTACGACTAGGGTCATAACGTTCTAAATCAAAATTGATTTTGGGTGATTAATTAACATTTTGTGATGTTATTTTAGGTTTTTTCCCGCGACTTCTTTCTCGCAAATTATAGCCTATATCACCCGCGTATTATGTAGCTTCCCTTATGTGAAAAATTGTTTATCAAATTAACAAACAATCAAATCTATCCTATTTATAGTTATTATACCTATGTAGATTAAGACTAAAATCTTAGATCCGAAAAGTTTGACCAATATGCTTTGATTTAGAATTTCATAGAATTCACACAAAAAATCCTGTTGGAATATACTTAAAAAATATAGTAAAATGACACTTACCTCAAGGAATCCTTTTTGGTAACACATAGAAAGTTGTACATCTCCCAGAGTGGGCGCTCCGAGTAGCTGCCTTCCGACTAGTTGACCAGGGCCTAGGCCGTCGATGAAGTCCGATAGGCCTCCGCCATCAGAGGAGCCCGACCCGCGCATGCCCGGCGACCATCTGTCAATGTTGCCATTGCAATAAAATATCTTATAACAGTTGCTGAAACTTAAGCATTTATTGGAAGTATTAACGTTTTTTATCGAATATATTGTAAAGAATATTTTAGGTAGGTACTGAAGATAGTTTTATTGTAATTCCTATACAGGTAGTGCATGCGTGTCGGCAGTTATCTGCTACGTTTAGATAAAATTTATATATGGGAAAATATGTTTTTTTTTTAATTTACTTCTTACGTTATAAATATTTTTAATTAATAATAATAGCATGTTTTTATAATGCGTAACAGATAGCAGCGAAACAATATAATATCAATGTGGGTAGTAGTAAATTCTAAGGGTTATAAACTGAAAATAATGATATTACGAGACATTTCTCTTTGCAACTACTATTAGGATAATACAGAGTAAATTAAGTATAAAAATTACAACAATGACAACATTGATACAATAGTGAAGAAGAGGGCGGTAGTCTTTCGGATGCATCGAGTGATAAAAGTTAGGTAAATACGTGGATATTAGGTACTATATATAGAAAATTTAAAGACATCTAGTAGAAAATCTTATAGGTGCTAAAGAATCGCTAAAGAATGATTTGTTTCTAATTTTAAAAGGTCAAAGTTAGAGATATACATAGCTAATTTATAATGAAATATTGATAAATATATTTTATGATGAGATCAACAAGAAAAGTTCTAGATTATAAATTTGCACAAATAGAGTTCACCAAAAGTTAAATGACTCGTTGAAATGTATTCAACATTTTGTATTCAAGATTTTTCTAGCCTAGTCTCCAGACTGAATGAAAATAGAATACAGATTATCTTCAACAATAATAAGTTCTTAAATAACAAGTCAACCTGCTAAAATTTCGTCTAGTATGGTTAAAAAATATGATGGTGTGATGTTTCCAGAAAATCATGCATGGGTGTCGTGATGATGTGTAATACGTCAATAAGTCATTTTTTTTATTTATCAAAACGAGATAAAATAAAAAAGTGCAAACAGTTTAGGCGATCAGGCAACATTTATCGTCCAATCACACTCGTGCATCATAATTATGAAGCGCCTACCGGCGTCGGCTACGGCACTCCGTTCGCTGTCTGCAATATGACTAAAAACCGGAACAGTACAATACCGTCGAGAGCTTCTAACATCGAAATTAGCGGTCTGAAGGAAACGAGAGAGTGCGTTGCCTATGCGATAGAAGACTCGTGCGTGCTGAACAGAAAATAGTATGAAGTTAAAAACACCAATATAAACCGGCATCATGCGTTTACAAGACGAGAGGCACATAGAAAGGGGCGAATCGAAGACACGAGCAACATCGATGCACATATACAAGAGGAGAGGCAGGCCCGGATCTACTACGACTTTTTCCAACCGGGGCAGAATCTTGTGCCCTTACAACCCCCCCCCCCCCCCCCAACGCGTACATTTTTATGTAATGTATTATTTAATTTAGGGATTTAAATATATTTCATCCATCGTAGATTATCATGAATTTCCTCCCTCCCACAATCTGCCCCCCACCCCCATCCCTAGATCCGGCCCTGAGGAGAGGCGGCGAGATCGCACGCGGGCAGACGAGCGAGCGACTTACGATGATCCTTCCGAGCTAGATATGGAGACGAGGCTGGCGGCGCACACCTCGTGCGACCGCTGGAACGTGGTGGTAGCGGGGCCCGACCGCTTGCGACGCGCCCCGCCGCCATCGCCTCCCCGGCCCCGCGCTGCCGCCACACATCACCGCAACACATACAGTACGAGTATTTACATTGTTACTCACCTACCTAACACCGTTCTTTTTGTTCCTTTTTTTTGTCGGAGGAGGAATGATTTATGCGCTGTACGCGCCACTTGATATGCGACAGGGGATGTGTGGGACTCTCCATCCACACGGACCCGCCTGAAGGCTAGTCAAAACGTGGATGACATACCCACTAAGCCCCCTCCGATGTAGGGTACATTTTGGGGGAAGGACGTGGGATCCAGCAGGGACTGCAGCCCCCGACCTACCTAACACACCTCATTTCACCTATATACCGTTATCATCAATTTACATATATCTATTTAGTTTACCGCAATGTTCGCTAAAATATCACGAGGAAATTTTATTTATTCACTGCGAGATTCCTATTTAAAGTACTCTCTCGTTTAAGCTACATTTACCGAGAAAAGCACTCACTAATTTCACAAAAGCAACATCGCACATCTAAAATTGGAGTGTTTTCGAGCATGCCGCGATCGTTCACGACTGATGGCGACGAATGCCAGCCTGTTCAGAGTTAAATGCGCATCGCGAGATCTACCGCCGCCCGAGAGCCCACTATTGTGTCAATGGCTCCGCTTTGAGCGCAGCGAACCTGTCGTCGTCGTTCTCACTGGAGGCGGAGGAGGCACGAGACACACCGGAGCCTGCCCCGCGCATTTCTCCGGGTACCACTTCCTCGCTGCGTTGAACCGTAAACGAATTTTTTCCACGTTTGCCGAAACCTAACCTCCGTTTGCGTCCTGCCGATCATTTTATTAAACACATACTTGTTATTTACTTGCAAAAGTAAAAGGACCTTCGCGCATCCGATTTTAAAGTATGCAGATGCTCAAAGGTCGGTTGGGTGGGTGAAGAGTGAAAGTAATAAGTTAATATTACTAAGAGCTGGTTCACCTGTGGCAGACAGCTGCGATGTAGAATTGCTTTTCTTGCCCATACCAGGACCGAAATAATCACGTGGTTCCGCCTTCAGAAGCACGTCGTCACTGACTGGCTCCAATTCGTTGGTTCCACCCAATGCCGTGTCGCTGAGACTTCCATCTAGTAAATGCCAAAGACAAGTCGTAAAGTCAAAAGTATAATCGAATTCAAATTTATAGAATGTTGCTACTGGATTACCTGCTTTCTCGTCCGGAGGTACATCAGCGTTACTGAGGCTTCTCGTGAACTGTCCTCGTCGCGATTCTCGCCTCTCCAGAGGTTGTGGCTGATTGTTGCTGCGTCCGTTCTCTCGACCGCCGTAATCGTTACTGCGTTTTGGTTCCCGCCGTTGTCCGGATTTTCCCCGTTGTTTTTTCGGAGCCGTCGATTGATTTTTGTTGTTGTCCGATTTGTTGCAGTCACGTTGTGCCATGGATTGGATTTCAGTGCCAGTGGTCGATTTATCCGAGGCAGGTGATTCAGTTGTCATATGAGTGTTTTGATGGATGTCATCGTGTGGCAGATGTGATGCAACAGATGTGAGTACGCGTCGGGGCGAGTCGAGGTTTGGGGGAGAAAGAGCAATAAACATAGTATTAGCCATTTTACTTAAATCGTGATCTAAATGGTCACTAGTAGTCAAAGAATACGATCGGGTGCGAGCTTTCTTAATAATAGATGGTAAAGGTTTTAATAACGAATTATCGATGCTACATTGAGGAAACAGGGTATGAGGTGAACCATATTCCTGAAATGTTGGGACTTCATTTATACTGACATTGTTACTGTGTTTTTTTAAACTTTTTTCTATATCAAGTAAATTCTCACTATTTATCGACTGTTTAGGCGATACACTCATTTTTTGGAAAACGTTTGTAAGTTCATCAGGAGAAAATAAAGAATTTGATGTAGTTTTTAACAAAACCAAAGAATCAGAATGTCGTCGTTGTATTTTCTTGTCACTTTTTGTTGTTATGTCTAAACTTTTATTTAATGGTTGAGTTTTTACTTCACATATACTTTCAACATTGCTTTCAATATTACCTGGTAGTTGATTTAAAAATTGTGATTGAGTAGAACCATTAGAGTCGTATGTAGTTTTCAAATCGAGGGAAAGACCTTTTTTCCTTTTGTTATTTGATGTTATATGTTTATTGGTTTTTATGTTAGGAACGGATATATCTGCATTGTTAGCAGCGTTATTGTTCCTTGTTATTTCTATGCTGTTTTGTTTGTCAATGCTAACATGAATTGTAGTTTCAGCTACACTTCCGTCACTTTCGTAACCATGATACTGTGAAGATGATTTTTCTTCTACTATGTAGTCTGTTACTAGATTATCAGTAGTTTTTGCAGAATTACTTTGAATATTTACTAATGGAATATTCGGAAGAGATCTAATACGTACAGTTTGGAGACGATCGATGCTTGGCAGTTTACGCCTTTTAAGTTCTTTAGGTTTTTGTTGAAGAAAATGATAATCTGCAGATTGTGTTCGTCCTAAATGCCAAGACTCTTGACGTTGTTTAAATTTTCTTTTGTGATATATTTTTGATTGCGGTACGTTATACATTGAATTCGTTGTTATAGCCCGCAATTGTTCTATGTTGGTTGTTGAGTTTGAAACATCATGTGAATGTTTCAGTGGCATTGTTACTTGAAACACGTATTCTTTACTGTTTTCAGTTATTTTATAACTATTAACGTGTGCCGGGTATTCGGGACAGCTATGACTTCGTTCGTAAGCATGACGATGCGAGCATTCTCTAGTGTAGGAGCCAGCGGAACGACTCCTGGCGAGTAAGCGACGAAGACGGCGAGTGGGCCGCGCGCGGTGCGTAGCTTGTAAAGTAATCGAAGCAACAGTATCTGCTCGAGACCGAATACGTCGACGCACAGCGCGCTCCGCACTAGCGGGAAGGTACACAGACGGCAATAAACGAGGGAATCTATCACAACTATAGTGATTTGGGACAGGGGTAGCGCTATCACACGAAGAAGATGTACTATTCGGGGGGAGTATTCTTTTCCGGCTGTAAATTTATGTGAAAAAGAAAATAATTGTACATCCATATTGTATATAGAGTCTGCTCTATAAGTTGATTATAAAATATATACCTGAGCATCCGTGTGGGTCGAGGTCTTTCAGACTGCGTACTGAATGCACTCGATGTGACTGACGCAACGGATTCAAGATCCGAGTCGGCAGCGGTGGCGTCAGGCGAGAGCCTACGTCTCGGTGCCCAACCACTGCCTCCTCGAGCCGCTAGCTCCGAATCTGATAGCCCCGCGTAGTGGCGTTCCCAACCTGAAAATACTTATTGCTAATTATGCGTTAATTAAAAGCTTAAACACTAACCACTAGTACTAAATGTTGTGAAATCTAAATGATATTAGGTAGGTCAGGTATGTAATGTACAGGATTGCATTGGTCAAACTGAATCTTATGAAGATGTGACAAGTGCATCTATTTTTGTTTTTCTTTTGTCTGTTTTACAGAATTCTGTAAAACATATTGAATATAACGAGGCATTGGGCAGGGTATGCGTGTATTGACCTTGTGGCGTGCTGCGGTAGGTTAGTGTGGCGCCAATGTGATGCGGGGCGATCCACTTACGTTCCTCTAGGTCCGCTGATACTTGAGCTCGCACCGCTCTCTGCGTACTCTGCATGTACATAATTTACATTATAGGGTATTATCTGCCGCTCGATAAACTTAGAAAATGCTAACGTTACTCACAATTACCTGGTGAGGTATTTGTGGTAGTTGTCGTTTCTTAGGACTCGTTGTCGGAGTAGCTGTTGCCGATCGAGACTGAAACCGTGGAGCGTAGGCGTGTGTCGGCAGTCTTGATACATCTCCGCCGCTTCTGTCCTCGCCTACTGAAATATTACCATTTTTTGCTGTCCCCTCTAATTAAGAGATGATAACTGATGAATCTTAATGGACTTATTTCACGACACAAAACATGGTCAGAACTAAATTGAACAGATCGAGGACAATTACTGGAAAATACGACATCTCGAAAAAAGAAATCTAAAATTCACGTAACATGCAAATGGTAATTTAAAAATTTATGCGGTGGTAATTCTGTTGGTCCTCGGTGTCCATATGAAAAGTAAGATGGACGCCGAACACCATACAGTTCTATCAGTACGGTTAAGTGATCAGCGTGCAACTATCAGGTAGAAGGATAAGGTTTGCGGAAGATGCGTGAAAATAAAGATACAGTGGAACAGATCAAGGAAGTTAAACAGTTTGTTGCAGTAAAGTGGTGATGAGCGGACGCAACGAGAGAACGTGCGTTTCTCGATGACAGTGTTCCGTGCGGGGTCGGATCCCGCTGTGGTTCGACGTCCACAGACCAATCTGACGCGGCCTCGAATTTGAGTGTATGGTCGACTTTGTCGTGTCTGATTGGTTGGTAGAGTCATATGGCGCCGAGTGCGGCACCTGTGTAACGCCAAGTGTCCCGGTCGCGGTCTACGGGCGGTGATAGTGATCGCCGCGGGGATTTGCTGCGCGCTCGCTGCGGTCTCGCCACTCCCGCCGCTGACTGCGAACGTGCCACACTATATCCGCCGCTCTGTGTGAATTAAAATCCGTTAGCAACTCGGTTCAAATATAATCCAAATAAATAGCTGAGTTAGTTAGAATATTAAAAGCACTTTTAGGATTCGAAAAATGACAACGATTCATAAGTCTACAACGGGGACAAAAGTAATTATGACTCAATCAATAGGCAGCCTATCGTTTCGTTTAATCATATATTAGGAAAACGACTCGAATTTCACAGCAGCGATTTTTAAGAGTGTATGGTATGTTCTTTTTCTGATGAGTTCGAAATAGGTACTACAAGTACGAGTGAAATACAAGTAAACTCACTCTTTCCCTGGACATGCCCGCGGCCCGTACGCGACCCGCCGGTGACATCTCACGTCGACTATTCCGATTTCCATCCATATCCATTCGCTATTATAAAAAGTTTTGACAGTTGTAAAAAAATAGAAGTGGGTTAACATAACTTTTACACAGTGCCGGATTAGCCACGTAGCGAAAGTTGCAAATGTTACGGGCTCGCGCGTTCGGGTGCCCCGCGTTTTTGGAACCTCGCGAAATTGGTAACCTCGCAGTGGCCAGACTGAAAAACTAATGTTTCCGTCGATGTTAAAATATGCAAGAAATAAAATAAAGGGGGGAGGGGGCCTAAAAAACTTTGCTACAGGCCTCTGGCTTATCCGGCACTGCTTAAATAGGTAAAGTTTAGATGCAGTTTTGTTTAACCAGCTGCTATTTCGCATTACAAACGATAAGATTAGACGTTACCTCGTGTGGTGGAGGTGGACTGGAACTGGAAGCCAGACTAGAGAGAGAATGATGACGACGTAAGTCACATTCACTCGGTGTATCGGAGTCCGAAAGTCGGGATGTCGAAGTCGAAGGTGGAGACAAATGTTCCCCGTCAGCTTCATCCTCGCGATATCTCTAAAATGATTAAGTTGTAATTTATATTTTAGCCATATATGTACAATAAAAAAAGCAATCAGTATATTAACTTACGCTAAAAGAAGCTGATTCTTCGTGAGGTTTTAGCGTGTACCAATTAGGTTCGTGATTCATGACAATATGGTCAAGATCAAGTAAGACTTCGCCAAGAAAATCGTTTGGGCCTAAACGATTTAGATCCCATACGGTAACCTGGAAGATAAAGACATTACTGTGATTCAAGTTGACCAATTATGTGATTTTGCTACTGGTAATAGAAAATACTCCAAAGAAAAGTACCTCTAATGTTCTTTTTTTTATATCCGTGATTCTTATACCACAATACACGAAGGTTTGATTCCAGCGTGGTTCTAAAGTGTTAGCTAGTGTTTTTGTTCGCCTTTTGCTTTTTTCGCTCTTATCAGGTAGGAGGAAAATCTTTGCGTATGGACATCTCGGGGTTCCATCAGCTCTAGGAGTTAGCCCACTTGCCGACACCACTGTCACCAGTAGCTGGAGCGCGCTGATATCGAAATATACTTTCAGCTGTTAAGGAAAAACAAATTGTAAAAATAATTGGTTACATAAGTATTTAGATTTACACTTGTTTGATATTTATTATTTTGAAATTGTGTGTTGAACCCTAAAGGTAGGTGTTAATCAACATTTTTGGTGTGTACCGAGCCGAAGAATTTCGAGCTCTTGAAAGATAATGCACACAAAATCTTTCAATTATTCTCGCTAAGATTTGTTTGAATCGTAAGGGATTAAATGTAAGTGATGATCGCCTAAAAATGACAGACCGCTAAGCACCATATAATATCAGCATAGTTTAAACCACGAAGGTGAATTTATTGAAGAGTCTAATCAGTGTCATCTAAACAGAGAATATTGTTTACTGTTAGCATAATTCGTATTCTAATGTTAAATAAAAGAATAGAGGTACCTGAATTCTACCAGCAACATTAGCATTGTGGTGATTGTGTCTAGTTGGTCGTCGACGTGAGTGAACATCTGGAGATCCCGGTGATGTAACAAGCACGCTGGGTTTCTCACATCCACCCATTACTTCCGTGTAAAATTCTAGACATACATGTAATTTGTTACTTAAAATTAAAAACAGATTGGCATAAATTGAAAATGAAGTTATCCTCACCTTTATGATTTCTCCAAGATTGTGCTGTAGGTCTAGAGGCAGCTAGGGGCCGCGACACAACAAGTTCTACATGAGAATCATGTTTGCTATCTGCCACAACCGCTGCCACCTCCTCTGCACTTCGACCTTGGAGAGGTACCCCATTCCATTGTAATACTTCATCACCTGATATGAAAAAACATAAAGATGATATTATAGGAATCGATACTAAATTACCAATTCAAGCCCGACTCGGATACTAACGTACCTATTCTAAGCTGGCCTTCTAAATCTGCTATAGATCCCTTCTTGACCTTTTCTACAATAGCTCCTCGAGTTCCATCTGGCAATAGCTTTCCACCTACTACTTTCAGTCCCAGGATCGCTGCTGACGAGTGAGAACTACCTTCTACAACGCTCTTGCGAAGCACCATGTGTCCAACCATGCGAGTGCCGTCTGCCGACACTTGCCAACTCTGCGGGAACTGTCACATTGACGTAGGATTAATGTTGAAATATTAATATATATATAAGTTTCCAAAATTCTATATTCGTAAACGTAACAATTTGACACGGATAAAACATTTTATTAGCAACTGGCAAGGTGTATTGCGGATTACGAAGTGCACATTCAAAAGTCAACTGTTACATGCCTGTTAAAATCATGCTACAGCCAAACATAGAAACCACAACCCAGTCAACATCTACATTTCAGAATTTACCTATTTACAGCGATAAATTTTGTGCTTCACAGACTTTTAAAAGAGATGAGTCTCAATTCGACTGAGTGTTTTTGTTATCTATCATGGATAAGATAAAATGGATATTAATTTTGTCTACCCCTCCGTTTATATACTTAAAAAATATTTATTCAATTCAAAATTGAATGCGCTGTACCTTGGGACAATCGCCTCTATTTGAATCTTCACTTGATGTGAAGGTGCTAGAGGTATCAATGCCCGAGTCTTTTGTCGCGGAGTCTTGACTGGCCTGACGTTCAGACTCCCAACGCAGAGATGCCCAATCGTGAGGTGCGCCTGAGGCGTCCCGACCACCCCTTGGGAATGTCGCGGCGCCTTCGTGCCCATCGAAGCGAACAGTCTTTTTTCTTCTCTCGGTAAAGCGTCTATTGTCAGCGGAATCTTCCCATAAATAGGCACTCTTATATACAGCTCTCTCAGGGCGCGAACTCTCGTCCGGCGCGTACGGGCGCAAGTAAGCGCCTTCTCCGTCGTCACGTGCTCGCCACCGGCAGTCAGTTACGGAGTCGAAGCTACGCCCACCCGTCGGTGCTGTCCTCGACGTCTCAAAAGGACCACGCGCCTCCACCTCATAAGCGGCCGGTGAATGATTAGTCATATTGTAATAATTGTTGGCAGCCACGCTGCTGCTGCGCAAGTGAGGGTGTCGGAGAGAACTGCACCCCTCAAGTTGTCCTAAGAATGATATGGGATCAATCGCAAATATAATAATCTCCGTCGAACGACCTGCGCACCCGTCCGCGCCCGGAACCGATTAAATATTAACGTTACTTGTTTTACTCCAGCAGCGATTGTAACCTTTTATTTCTTTCCTAATAATTTCGTAGACTTTTTAAAATACTCTCCAGTTGAAAAATAAATTGAAAGCAGTGAACACGCACAAGCGGAAAGAACGTGTGTCAACTCATCCAAGTCATACATAAAACAACAATCATAAAACAAACAACACTTTCACAAAATCTAACGAGTTTGTAAGAGAAATCAAGTACACTTCTTTTCGCCCAGGCATGCGATTTGCTTGAACCATTTCTGGAAAGTAAATTAACAGTAATCTTTTATTTTTATTTATGACAATAAGTCATTGTCTTCTTTATGGTTCAAACAACGGAAAAAATTGAGACACATCTACTGGTACGAAATATTTAGGTATACATAATTGATGATAAATGTATTATATATATAATAAGCAAGTTTATTCGAAATTGTGAACAGTAAATGTATCTCAAAGGAGATGGATTGTAGTTGAAAGATATAGATTGGCCGATCAGAGGAAGAAATAGTTTGTAAAAACAGTAATCGATATTGACACATCTAATTCCAGCAATATTACAACGCATATTCTCCCGAAAAACACGCCTTCTCACCGATAAGAACTTTTTCATTTTCTCGTTTAGCATTGCTTGACGTTGGCTTCTTGAGCTCTCGGAGCTGCTCCTATCTCTATTACCTGTAAACAGTGGGATGGCGTGATAAGCTACAGGAGAACCGACGGCGCTTGCAATATGGCTACCGGGCGCGTTGATATCTGGGTACACAAGACGCACGCGGCGGTTTAACAACAACTCTGATTGATACTTCTAATTAAGCTCATATGTCAAATCTAGCACAGATTGGAACTTGTGCGAGTTTTGATCGTTCAGAAAACCTTTAATAGATAATAAGTTCTGAAAAGAAACGATTATAGAAACGGAGTGTTTTCTTGAATCATAGAAGGAAGACGATGTAGCGATGAAACATGACTTAATGGAAACATTTACAGATAAGTTTAGGTGCTCAACACTATCCACTTCTGTGAAAAATATTATTAATACAACTTAAACATAGTTTACCTGAGACTAATCTAACGTACTTAAATTATTGGTTACCTCGCACGGAACACCTTAACTTTATCATTTATTTAGGCGAATGATGAATATGACATAGATATAGGAGAATAAACATCAATCGGATCAGGAAAAATAACTGTTTTGTGTTTGAACATGTATGTTAAGTAGTGTATTGTGTGAGTGTAAGGGCTGACTAACAAAATAGCTCGGATTTTAGGCTTACGGTGATCAGGGCAGCGGGATAGGGTGAATAGCAACAGGACAGCGTGCATGCTTACCGCGATCACGATATTCATCGTTCTCATCAGAGACACATTCTGGCACCTCGTCATCAGAAGACGATGAACGCGGAGGCATAGGAGGGTGGTTTTGTGTATGCGGCATCAGCTGCGATGGTGGGAGGGTCATCGCATCCTCCACTCCGTATGCAGCTTTTTGCCTGGGATGCACTAAATGTGGATGAGTCCGTGCCAAGCCCTCCAGCTCTCCGTAACAACGTGGTTCTTGCTGGCTGTATTGTCTACGTAATGCACTTCCCGATCTCTGAAGAGGGTGGTTCTCTTTCTCCGCTGCGCTATGTGCTCGTTCTAGTTTTGGTCTTTTATCTAATGACGCTTCAACCTGGGGCGGCATTCCTCGCAAGTCATTTTCCATTCGCCATAACATGGAATCATGACCCGTGCTTTTGTGAATCCACTGCCCAGTTTTAGATAATAACTCTTGTTTTTTACGACAAAGTATGCATACCCAAATAACCTGCAAATGTAAATATAAACCTTTAATAATTATAATTATTGGAAAAATCTTTAAGACATCGTGTTTAAAAATAATACCTTATTGGAACGCAAAGTGACTTTGCCACCACACCGTGCGCAACATCTCACTCTACAGTAATGGCAAGAGTGACCAACTCCATCCGCAAACTTGGTCTTGAGACAGATGTGGCATGTGGCTGCTAACTCTACACCAGCTGCTCGCTGCATCTCATTTCTCGTGCGAATTGTTTGCTCGAGAACGGCGACCTCATCTTGCTTTCGCCTGTTGTTATTAAATATACATGGGCAACTTATTTATAATTAAAAAATTATTATGGAAATGCTTTTATGTTTAGTTTTAGGACATTCTAATCACAATAATTTCACTAATTACAGTCATCATACATTCTAACTATATATATATATACCTATGATATAATATTTGAAGACTAATCATCTTGTATATGTACAATAGCTCGGGAATATCTGCAGGAATTGTATAATGTTGATACTTGAGTACATGGAACTATTCTGTGGTAGTTTATTATAGTTATTCGTTGATATTAAGTTCCTAGCTATTTTTTTACCATTACGAATTACTTTTAATGTGTAACCATTTTACATACTTTACATTATTCCAGCTCCTGACTTGCGCACTAGTAGGGTAGCAGGGTAAGACCGTTTAGTACTTCGATATATTGAAGTATGACAACAAAGAAAACTTACACGTTGTTGTTATGAGCTCTTCATCTATATATAAAGTTTTTGGAGCGATGGTTTTTAAGTACTTCATTTTATTTTACTACTTTAACATATACTTTATTAATGACGAAGGAATGATAGAGAATGATTTTTTTTTATTTATTATTTTGTTATGGGATAGGGGGCAGACGAGCAGACGGATCACCTGATGGTAAGTGATTACCGTCGCTCATGGACACCTGGAACACCAGAGGGACTACAAGCGCGCTGCCGGCCTTTGAGGGACGAATATGATCTTAGGGAGGGAAGGGTTGAGGTCTAGAGGGAAGGGAATAGGGAGGGGTTGGGCCTCCGGTACCCTCACTCACACGACGAAACACAACGCAAGCGTTGCATCACGTCGCTTTTCTGTGAGGCCGTGGTATCACTCCGGTCGAGTCGGCCCATTCATGCCAAAGCGTGGCTCTCCCACGCGAATAAATTATGGAATTGACAGAAGCGTACCAAATTAGTAATTTATCCACAAAAAGACGTCAAAGAAGTTAAATAAAACGAAATACTGCCATAACACCGATGAAATATCGTATCCTATGGCTAGAGAGTTAGGTAGCTAAGCAATTGTCTATATTTAAAACCTAACGCAATCCCTTTTAATTTTACATTTGTAAGATATTCACAAACTACAACTATTTGATATTGAATGAACGATATCGTTTAATTGACGTTAAATGGAATAAATGCTTGAAAGCTATTAATAAATGTCAAGAGTTGAATTTTTGACGGGTTAATAAAGTTTTATTATGTTTCTTGATCATTCAAATCATCATTAGTTCCAACGGCGATAGAGACTTTAAAAGTTGCATAATTGTATAAATCGCTATCACAATTGCTAAACGTTTGAAAGGAATAGCTATAGATTTTAAATTTGACAATGAGCCCACCGGTCAATTTGATTACTTCTATATGATTGATCAAATTACCCTTTCATATTGGACAGTTTTCCTACTCCACGGGAATCGTTCATAATGCCCAATTAATTACTTGGCCCATAACAGATACACTAGGACATTGTTTTCCAAACTGTTCTGCGGACCCCTGGGGGTCCACCAGTACTTTTAGGGGGGTCGACGGCACACCTGTGTCAGTAGAAATACAACTCGGTGCTAATATCAAATCCAATATTACTGATTTAGTTGTTAACAGTGCTACACTATCATATTTTACATAAAGTGCTTTTTAGGAAAAAAATACATTAAAAAAAGTTTCATTTATTTGTGATACAAATAAGCGGTCCTTCTTTACTAAGGGGTCTCTTGAAATCCGTTTCAAGTTCCTTGCAACTAAAACAAGTTTAGAAAATGCCATACTACGATAAAGATTATTAAGTTCTGTCTAGGCAGGCAACTATGTCTCCGAAAACACCTCATTATTAGAATATAACAGACTTTTATTTTTCATTCTGATTCGACAGCTCCCCAGAGACGTGATGAGAATGAAAATATGGAGAGAGTCAATTAATCGAGGATTTCGACCGAAGTAGGAGCATCGGTGTCAAATTCCCTCCCTCCCGTATGCCCCCTACGTGTGGCGAATTTAAAGCACGGAATTGTGCACTAAAAATATATCGCCTGTATTGTTCAAATTCTTATTTGAAAACGGATTGCTTTTTGTTATGTCTAAAATGGCGATTGACCAATTATGGATCGTTTAAGTACGTAGTAGGTCGTGATGAATTTCTTTTCACAGTTTAGTTTAGAAATGCTTAAGACTAGGCGTAAAAATTAGAGAGAAACATAATCAACGCGCCAATCGTTGCAATAGAGAGGGACATATGATGGCATATTACCAGTCTTTTTAAATAGATAGAGACAGATGACATTCTACTCGTCATTGCGTAGATGTTATAGCTGATAGGATTTACCCCATAATTTCAATAGATAGCGACAGATGATAGCATATTGCCCGTCATTGCGATAGATAGAGACATATGATGGGATATTGTCCTTGATTGTGGTAGAAAGGCATAGGATGGCATATTGCACGTTATTTCGATAAATAACGACAGATGATGGTATATTACCTGACATTGCGATAGATAGCGACAGATGATGGTATATTGCCTGACATTACGATAAATAGCGACAGATGATGGCATATTCCCTAACATTGCGATAGATAGGGACAAAGGATTACATATTGCCAGTCTTTTCAATATATAGATACAGATAATGACATGCCGACCGTCATTGCGATAGATATTGATAGATTGCCCATTATTTCGTTAGATAGCAACAGATGATGGCAAATTGCCCGTCATTGCAATAGTTAGGGGCAGGTGATGGCATATTGCCCTTCATTGCGATAGAGAGGGACATAGGATGGCATATAGCCATAATTTAAAATATAGCGACGGAGGATAGCATATTGACATTACGATAGACTATGGTGTACTGCAGGTCAAACATAATTTTCATAATTATTTGCCAATTATTACGATAATTTTTGCCAATTGTTGTAAAAGTTCTCTATAGACTCCTCGGCTACAAAATCACCTACTTAATATTTTGGTTTTGACCTTTTGAGAACCCTTACCATATCTAGATAAAATAATTAAAGTATGTATAAAATAACTTACAATCAATAATGTATGACCTTTATGTTGTTTCGATTAAAGTTTTCTCATTTTTAATTATATCATTAGTTTGTACAAAACAATTCAAATTTAATGATTTTGGAGCGCGCGTCCTCTTACTAGGAAATCACAATAGGCTTTAAATTGGATCAAATAAATAATATCTCTATGGTCGGGAATGGGTATATTTGAAGGTTATCAATTTTGAGTTCCTCTCTATTTCTAAAGAACCTAAGTAATTGCGATAATCGTCTAATTTCACAAGTTGATTAAGTAGTTAAAATTCTTGAATTATAATTTTTCAAGCAGAACATTCTACATTCTAAATACAGATTTCCACATTGATTCTTATTAAAAAAAAAAAAACTAATACAGTTATTTGGCAAAAAGGTATATGTAGGTATGGAATATTATATGAACTTACCTGATAAAAAAAGATAACCAACTTGCCTGCCACCAGTCAATTATGGAAATATCTTTTAGCGCAGAACTGTATCATGTCTAGAACGATGAGTCAGCACAAAGACACAAAGGGTTGGTAATTTAATTATTATTGCCCTACAACAATGTAGCGACACGTCATATCTTGTATTCACTGCATGTATAATGCGGCTATTGAGCTATTCCAGACAAACGGCAAATCTTTCGCATTAGCTTAATAGGATGTAAGAATATCTGCAAGCGCACATAACTGTGTTCGTTCTGTTTGTTCAGCAGAAATAATCTACTAAAATATTATGGAAAATATAGATCGCGTTGACTGGTGACTGCTTTAGGTAGTACGTCAATACCCTATACAGTCATAACTATGTCGGTATCTAAGCACAAACTCCGCATAAGCTGACGATAAGTGGAGGAGGAGCGGCCATATTTTCCACGGCGATGTCTGTATTTTCTAAAATTATCACAACTTGAATTATATAGTCGCGAACACAACACTCACTTAATGATCGGATTTGAAAAATGGTATAAACTGAGGAGAATACATAATGAGTGGTGGGGTGGCGGGGTGGGGCGTAGGCACGGGGGCACACCTCATGATCTCATGTTCGCGCTGCTCCTCTTGTCGTTGGCGCATCATGACGCCTTCGATGATGGCACGCTCCTCGGGCGTGAGGTGCGACAGGTCCGGCATGTCGGCCATTGCGGGCGCGGCGAGCCGCGTGCGGTGCGCGGGCCCGCCGCGTGCTGCGGTGCTGTGCCCGCGGCGACGCTTTGCGCGCCACTCCGCCCGGAGGTTTATTTAATAATGCCGTACGGGCCAATGGCGCTCGCCCGTCCACTGACGTCAGCGGTCCGCCTATTGATCGCACACGGTCCGCGGCCGTGGGTCGCCGCCCGCCCGCCCTACCCACGTCCAAACTGCGTGCGCATAACACACTCAGTCGTCACTGTAAACATGTACTGGTAATATTTCAACACTGACAAATTGCACTAAGTCGATACATCGAATTAACTTAATAATAATTGTTTTGACAAGAAACAAAAAAAAATATTTCACAGATTTCTCCGTTATGCACTACCTACAGTCTGTTGTCTCCAGAGATATTCTCACTCAACAGTTGTTAGGCACTTACATTCAATCCCATCTTTGCGATTTGAGCTTTATATCCAATGCTATTTTTATTAACGAGCCCTACCTACTTAGGTACCTACTGATTATATCTGCTAGTGACATGGATCCATTCAAATACGTAATGTACTTCGTTAAAAATAAACTAATAATAGGGACAGGAAAGACTGCTTTATCGTTCTGAACATACAGATTCGTGCAGCTTTCAGATGCAAGTTAGGTACATATACTAAGGCCTCCACTGTTGCACGCACTTGGTGTCGAGTTGCGGAAACAACCTGTCATCAAGAAGATGGTACATATTTGGTTCTATTGGATAACTTACCAGCAAAACAGTATCGGCCATAAAAACCTGTACTGCTCTACTATCAGTGAGATTACAGATTTTGTAGGATGAAAATTATAGTAAAATTTCTTATGAACTATTATGTAAGTATGTTGGCGCTCAAGTTTAAAGTTATCGAATTTATTCTAGTTATGATTTAATTAAAAAAGTCTTATATTTATGAAGTATTTGTTTATTTTTGTTTCCCATAATTTACCGTTATAGACTAAATTACACTTGACACAAATTAATCACAATCAGGGGAAGGCGGCTCGCATTCTCCAGGCAGATGGTTAACATGTTCATTGTGGAAGAACGTTTCATTACCCTTTCCCCACGGGAATCTCTTCGTACGTACACGCATGTACTCATAGTCCCGACAAGATCCTTTGGGCGGAGGCGAATGGGAAAATACATTCATTGCCTGCGCAATTATTAAAGGGATACAAACGAACAGTGCGAGAGACCTATATTTCTTCCATGTATCTGTTCCGTGGTGAAAACGTGGAACGCAGGGGTTCGGAGGTATAGGAGGTCTGGCACCACCACATTTCCCAGGAGGCGGTATGCATTTTCCAATACTTTTACCGCCGGGCATACATCCAGTTGCCTTTTTGGGCGGCGGGCAACAGGTACTTAAACACTTCACACGTACACACGTCACAATAGTATGATTGATATGAGTTAATTTTCCGAACCCCAGCATCTTGAGCTTCTTTTTTTTGGGTTTTTTAAAACAGTGATACAAAATTATATCACTGGTATATATGTATTTTTAGAATTTTTCTACATTTTGGTGAAGTTGGTGATATGATTTGTTTCCTATTCTGACATTATTAAATAAAAAATTATCTATGATCATATCTGAAAAAAAACGTTCTTTTGAATGTTTTGCGATCAATTTAATTTTCTTCTCATCCTTCTTTCGCTAGTCTTTTTTATTTTAACAGAAAAACAATAACATGTACACCAAAACTCAAAATTGACGTGACTTAATCAAAATCATACCAACAAAGCAGGATGGAGTAAAAATATACATGATTTCATAAAAAAAATTAGTAAAAAAGACAGAAAGAAATAATCTGGGTTCAAACTATCGGTAAATGCTATCTTTCGAAAAATGTATTCCCTACCTTGCTTCTAGCAAGGTGCAGGGGAAAAGGAACTATAATTATTGCAACCGACCGCCCCCATCGAGGTTGTGTGGACCGGGTCATGGAAGCGGACGCATAATCCAACCACCAGCAGACTGCAGACCTGGGCCCATTCCACCCAATCCCTGTGTGCCTCGGTACTATCATGGCAAGGATACTTGGAAGAAATACAAATTCTTTGCATTAGGGATTTTAATACCAATAATTATAATCAAATCATTTAAAAATCTTACCGATGAACACGAACATAAAAAAGTATGCCGCGATTATGAATATATGCGTATTCGAACTAAGAGATTCCCTTGGGGAGACGGTGTTAAATCATTATTCCACAACCCACACGTGAACCATCTACCCGGTGAATGTGAGCCACCACCTCTTGATTGCGATTAACGGGAGAGCTACCGACCTCTAAAGTGTGCATTTGTTAAAGCATAAAGGTGACCTGAATAAATATGAAAACGAAACAGATAAATAAATCATAATATCTAAAGAAAAATGTTTTAATTCTAACGAAACTTTTGGACCAACAGGCAGGTACGGCCGGCCCGTCATTATAGGCAAACTAGGCAACTGTTTCGAAGTCATAAAATCTTTATAATACATAATAATTTATAGGTCACTTATAGGTACTAGGACCAGCCATTGTGAATGTTGCTTAACCGTATAATTATTATATTTTTCTAATCAAATATTAAATGTAAAATTTCTTTAAAATTGACTGGACGAAATTCAATTTTGTATAAATATAGTTAAGTAGAAGCATATCTTGTATGCTTCTAACTACGAACAATGAGATGGCGATTAAACTAGGGTACACTAGGTGGGATAGAGTGGTGTTATATGATATTTCTCAAATGTGAAAGTAAGATACAATAAGTAACTATAATAAAAACCACAATAAAAACATACCTACTCTTTAAAATACATTTTAAACGTTTAAGCAACTTACTAGGTATTGTTACTGGGTTACAATGATATAGATATTAATCTCTATCACCATAAAAATATAAAATTTCGGCTCACATCTAAAGACATGAGTAAATCAAATAAGCACAAAAAGGGGTTAACCTCGAAACCAGAGATAACACGCAGAAACTGGTTCATAAGTAGGGATCGACCCTACTTATGAACCAGTTTCTGCGTCTGTATCCCGTCCACCTCCCATTTTCGACCATTTAACGGTCCTCCTTTGTAAAAAGATCAAAAACAGTAATGTTGGTATGCTCAAGTGTCCATAACTTAAACATATGGCAACCTGAATATACTGATTACCCTTACATACACACATAGCCTTCCGGCAGCGGTTTCGCCCGCGTGATCTAGTTTTAAGTTCAGAAATGAGAAAATTCTAATAAAACTCTCATCCCCTAATTTTTACCCCCTTAACGGTTGAATTTCATAAAATCCTACTCTTAGTGAACACCTACGTAAGTTTCATACATACTTCCATCCTATACTTTACCCCATTAGGGGTTGAATTGCATAAAATCAAGTTTTAGTGAGCAGCTATGTCTTAAAAAGAACCCACATGAAAAATTGGAAACTCTTAGTACTTGTAATTTCTGAGATGTCGTGATGAGTGAGTGAGTGAGTAAACTTTCGCTTTTATATACAGCGGTGGCCATACAATTAAGAACGATTTGTACTTATAGAATTTTTAATTAAACTTGCCCCATTTTTTAATATTACTTTTTGTAAGTTACGTATTCAGAGAGCCAGTTAGTTGAGATAAAGTATACAAGCATAGACATATAAAATTATTTACGTTTTTTTAAAGTATTTTTATTGTGGACAGTATTATAGTAGATGATAATGAATCTGGATAAATAATTAGAAACGATACTCTTAAGCTGTTGGTAAAATGTTTAAAATAAAATACAGAGTAAATGTATAATTATAATATAAAAAAAATGTTCATTTAAAAAGAATCGTTCAATTTCAGAAAGAATAAATCAATTTTTGACATTATGGATGAGAAATAAAATTCCATTCTTCCAAGAAAACGTCGTATAGTTCCTTTAGATTACCACAGAGTTGATTTGCTACCTTTTTTAACTTCACACCAAAGATGTTCTATCTAAACATCTTTGGTGTTTAAATCAGGGCTGTTAGCTGACAAGTCGAAGACGGAAACAGATTGGATAACATTGTTTCTTCCAGAATAGGGTAACATTGTTTCTTCCAATATATTTTTAGTATTGAACTTGATCCATGTTCCCTTCTATAAGCCTAATAGGCCCAATTCCATGACTAGAGAAGCAACCCCAAATTTTCAGGTTGCCACCACCTTGTTTTAAAGTCACCTTAGTTAACTTAGGGTCAAATACCTTATTAGAAGGGTTACGCCTTCCTTTCATGGCCTTCCATCAGAGCACACTCTATTTATTTTCGTTTCATCTGAAAAAAGTAGGTACATTTGACCACTATTTAACGGTCCAGATTTCATACTTTTTTGCTAAGGCAAACCGGGTTCGCCTATGGCGCTGTTTTAACATATGCTGAGATCGCAGAGGAGTTTCCTTCGCTAAAATATTCCTTTCGTATCTCTCGTTAGATCCTTTGAAAGTATTTAATTTCGCCAAACCATTGATGTTTCTGTCATTTCGAAGAGATGTTTTTCTCGCTCATGGCATGCGCGAAATATTTAAAGTACGGTTATAACTTTTAAAATGTTTTACAGCATTGAAGATCATGGTTTTCGAACATTGTAGATGGTTAGCTATTTTTTGTTAGAAGACCAATTCTTCTGCCAAAGTTTAGTATAATCTCCTTTGTAGATAGGTCGCAACTCGATTGGATAATCATTAATACTTGAATAATACTGTATATACATAAATAATATAATAGAAATACATACAATATATAGTAGTAATATCTAAAACAAGAGAAATTTTGAATTAGTTGTTGTAATTTAGAATTGCAACGACAGATAAAGGGATTTCACCTACTCCTTCGATCAATAATAATCGAAGACCAGCTCTTTGAAAATGGCGATTGATTGCACGCGTCTTGAAATTGGTAGTGCGTTCCAATGTAATACTTTCGAAATAGTTATAGGTTTTCCAATGATCTCAAAGAACGTGAGGTATTGGTATAATGGAATAAAACGTTCTTTCAAATAGTGCCGGCAGAGGGGATTAAACAAATCATTATAGAGGCATAATATGAGGGCTATGCGGCGAAGACGAATAGGAAGCCAATTGAGTTACGTACGAAATTTTGTTATATTATCTTATTTGCGCTGTCCAAATATGAAGCGTATATTGAATTTTTGAAGCCGCTCAAGATGTCAGCGTAGTCAAGTAAAGGAAGCAACAGAGATAAAAGTTACGCAACCTCTTAGCGAAGCAACAGAAGCATGATTGTCGTAGACCAATTTTAGTGGTAGTTGACAAAAAATTATGCAACCTCTTGGTGAAGCAACAGAAACATACAGTTTGCTACTCAAACTTGAATTCATAATTACATCTAGGATTTTTCTGACTCACTAAAAGGGACGTCAGTTTCATAAAAAAATAATTGAGTGAGGTGATCATAGAGGTGATGTCAGTCTACTTAACAGATCAATCTAGAGCTGCTCACAATGATCACGTTTATTTTAGTCGGGTTCACTTTAATTTAGTATTTATAGATCATAACAAATTAAAATTTGGCAGTATGGCTAAACTTCCTTCGCCTATTCTAATGGACAAAACATACTACTAACATATATGACAATTGACATTGACAACTAATGTCACGTAAACAAATTTGAATGGGATTTCGATTTGTTGATCATTGAGTATTGATTCAATTTTATAGCCACAGTCTTCAGCCTATAGCCTATATTATTTATTATCTTAGAAGGCTAAAAATGTTTTCTGCTCTGAAAAAACTAACTAGAAGTGGAGATGATCGCTGTGCCGCTCCAGTACCCATGTCCTCATCGCTCCAAAAGAAATTCTCCAAAGGAGTTCACTTCAACAGTGAGTGTTATTAATTAAGTCTTCTAGAGTCATTCGTGGGTGTATTCACATATTTATATTGTTACAAAGTATTATTTATTATGTCTAGCCGCTCCAGACGATTTATGAAATTGAGCCAGTATTATGTATACTATTTTGATGTTAAGTTGCAAATTTTGTTATGATTTTAGTGAAGATTTTGATAAAAGGCGACAGAAATGTTGGAAAGTCATGTCTTCTTCAACGTCTACAAGGTGGGGCATTCATAGAAGAATATGCTCCCACAGATCAAATACAAGTGGCTGCTATTAATTGGACTTATAAGAATACAGATTATATTGTTAAGGTTTGATTCAAAAAGTTAAATGTCCTTGTTTCATTTATAACTTGTTTTTTAGTATATAAATAAATATAAAATATGAATTATTAAAAATGTATAGCAGTGTTTTTCAAACTTTTCATATACAACTCCTTTTATGGTTGAAAAATATAGTGACAGAAAGTCATAAAACTTATAATTAAAAAAAACTATATTAATTACAATCTTTCTTTATTAAGGTAACTATTATTCATATATTAACATATTAAAAATACTATCACTATTTGATATTTTCATTAAATATAAAAAAGTCCATCCTGCTCACAAAAATTGTGATTTAATGTAGTGAAACATGTAGAACCTTATTTTTTTTCTTTTGCCTACAAACAACCCCATAAGCTCCATGATATACTTAATGGTTACTACCTGCAGATTAAAAATTACTGGATTTAATAATATTTTTGAATTTTTATTGCTCTACCTGATATTTTATTAATGTACCTTAAACCTATAATATTTGGATTTCAACTTCTATAATAATATTATGATTTATGATGAATTACTTTAAAGTACATTTTCAGGTAGAGGTTTGGGAGGTTGTAGATAAAGGTCGTACAAAAAAGAAACGACCTCTTGGATTAAAACTAGAGAATCAGACTGCCCCAGCCACAGAAGAAGGATATGAAACCCCTGTACTGGATGCTACTTTCCTAGATGTTTATAAGAATGCAAGTGGTGTAATTTTAATGCTGGACATAACAAAACCTTGGTATGCATATAGAATTAATGACTATCACAAGTCTTATGATAAATGATAATTGATTATTTTTATTTCTAACAATACGGGTATAGACAATAAATGAAATAAATAAATCATAAAACAGAATTACTTTAGTGACAAATGAAAACAGAATTACTTTAGTGATTGAATGTTTTGATGATGTAAGATTGCACTACATATGTAAAATGGAAACGGCTAATTAAGAATAAGTCAAAGAGACAACTTTTTAATAAACTTAGCTTATGTAAAGGTATTCCTATAAAAATAATTAAAATAATATTACTACATTTAAATAACATTTTGTTTTAGAATTATTTATATCAAAAATCCCTAAATAGTTCAGAATAAAAAAAATTAATTAAGACTGAAGAGAGATTTAGGTAGCTTAGTATGCTCTTAATTATTATTGTGTGCAAAGATAATAGATTTTATAATTGCACTGCTATTTAAATTGAAAACTTCGTACCTCCCTAAATGATTAATGTATATACTTACACATATATTTTATGAAGAAAAATAAAATTAAAAATGCATTTTGGAGCTCAGATGTTGCCTAGATTATTATCACAGAATATACTCTGTGGTATTATGCTCCTTGGTTATTTCAGTGTATGGTGCCCTATTTGAGTATTGTTTTAGTATGCAACGTGTTATCTAGTTGTATTGTTGATCAAAGGAAAAGATATTTATTTTATACTCGTTGTCACATGACTGCAAACAGCGCGTGATGTTACAGCCCTCTAAGGAAGATGTGAAAATACAGGCTTTTGTTTTGTATGGTACAAATTGGGTAAATGTCCACGCTAATGCGGAATTCACTCTGCATATTGTTATTAAATGGCTATCCCGAAATTTATTAACATTAAATCTAAACAAGACCAACTTCATAATTTTTCTGCTGCTACAGTGTCTTGTGTCCTGCGTCAGTCCCTTCCCGTTCTCTTTTTATATTCATAAGTATCCTCATCAAACTAGTATAAATTGCGAATGAACTCAAATTACGCAAGTTACCCAGATTAGATATTTGGGTGTACCATAGATAATTGGTTGTCATGGAAGGTATGCATAAAAAACACGGTTGGTCGTATCAGAAAACTGATTAAGTCTTCAAAAGCCTCACAACTGTATCTGATTATGATACATTAAAAATAGTCTAAGTACTATACATTGGGACAGTCTGTTCTTTCATATTGTATCTCCGTCTGGGGAAGCTCAAAAAAACAGAACTTCTGCAATTAGAAAGAGCTCATAGAGCAGTACTTAAAGTTATTACTGGCAAACCAGATTATTTCCCCACAATTTAGTTGTATGCTCTTACTGACGTTTTAACAGTGCGTCAGATTTGTCTCCTGCAAATTATTTTACGGAAACACGCTCAACTTCCATTTCCAACCATAAGTGATATGCCTTACTCCTGTAAAAGCAGACGTAGACCAGTGTTGGCGTGTGAAATCCAAAATTATAAAACAAAATCAATAACTTAATAAAATTACATCCTCTTACTACGCGAGAATGCGAAACTCGATTAGTACAGTGGCTAAAAACATTGTCCTACGGTGATATTGAGGACTTGCTAAAGACTTGTATGTTGTATTGCAGCTTATATAAAAGAGACACACATAATCATACAATACAAACACAAATAAACAGACATAAACTTACACTCATATACAAATACTCATACTCTCATATAAATTAACATTCTACACATAAGAATGCATACTATTTAATTCTAAATTTGAATTATCTAACTTTATGAAGTGGAATGTTGTTCTTTATACAATGGAGGTGGGTATTTGTGGCTGCAATACTGTTTTTAAACTAAAGCGGCTGCGTTCGCACACGATATTTCATGTAACGTAAAGTTCCAATAAAAAATGTTACTTAAAAGACGAAATTTATCCAATTGTTTTGAAAAGTTATTTGTTGATTTTTAAGATAATAATTATTAAGGTTTGACATTTTCATCCAGGACTTTTGAGTATGTGGTAAAGGAGCTAACACAGGTGCCAGCAGACTTGCCTGTAGTTGTGTTGGGTAACCACTGTGATATGCAACACCATCGTCAGGTCCACATGCACCATATTGATCAAGCTCTCCATCATGCCAAAATGACCAGGTCAGACTTGTTTGAAAATGGTAAAAAAAATACAGTTTAGATACGGATGTAGTATACTACTTTATAAAGAGAATGATTACCCGTTTTCACTAAACTCAGGAGTCAAATCTGTCGCCTAATTGTTTAGGAATCGTCTAGGGAGAAAATCAGTTTCATAAATATTAGGAGTCTCCTAACGACATCAGGCAATGCCTAATGTGACAGATCTTAGATATGTGAAGAGATAGAAAAGATTTTTTATTTGTGGCTAATCAAATCAGTTTAGGCGGTACTTTTAAGATTATATGTTTCCTAGTATTTAGTTATGTAAATGGATGTGAGACTCAATATTATCTTAAAAACTTCTGCATTAGGGTTGGTCCGTATTTGACTTAAGATGTGTCCCGCCTTTTTGGTCACGGAGTCACGGATCGTCAGAACAGACAAGTTTTTAGTTACATTTGACTTAGCACACTTTTCGACTGAAAGATTTGCACCGACCCCTATATTAAAATTGTATTTAAAAAGCAGGCACTTTCTTTATTGAACCATACTTTTTATAACCACTTTTTAAATATTTTAAGGCATAAGTTTATATCAAACTAATAGTTATTTTGTTAATTGCCAACACAGAACAGCACCAGTGCGATATGCAGAATCATCAATGAGAAATGGTTTTGGACTACGCTTGTTGCATAAATTTCTCAGTGTGCCATTTCTAAGGCTTCAGAGGACAAGTTTACTAGAACAGTTGCAGAGAAATCAGAAGGACATGGAAGAGATAGAAATAGAATTAGATGATTTTCAAGTAAGTCCCTTTTGGTACCTATTTTTTATATTATTATATATGAGCCGCGCGGGTACCTTACTCATAGATCTAAACTCCCCTCCCGCACGCGCAACCCCGCCTTGGTAACGCCCACTTCGCAACGGGCCGTGCAGCAGAAATCGTAATATTTTAATTTCGCCATAACTTTAAAACCAAACGTCCAATTTTAATCATTTAAAGACCAAATATTATCTACATGAACTGTACTTAGTGACGAAATAATTTATTTTGATAAGATATTTATTTTGATAATAGCATGAGTAAAATAAACGCAGTAAATAAATGTAGTAAAAAAAATCAAGATTTTTAAATAAAAAAATGGTTGTTGTGTCTCACTCGATAGCTATAGTGAATCGCAGAATTTTTTGTAGATATTTATAAGATCTACAATTAATTAGAACATTTTAGGGCTCTTATTTAGGCAAAATAAGTAACTTTTTTGGTAGATTTTTTACACCTTGTGTCCGAAAAACCCAAATATCTTACGGAACCCTATTATTTTTCCAAAATAAAATATAACCTATGTTCCTCGTGGATATGTTACTAGTGGATAATGTAGCTTTTGAATGGTGAAAGAATTTTTAAAATCGGTCCAGTAGTTTTTGTAGCCTATTCATTACAAACAAACAAACGAAGTTTTCTTCTTTATAATATTAGCGTAAATTACAGCGTTGACAGAATTTAATTTTGCCAAGTCAGGATTTTGAACCTTTTTGAGTGAAAAAAAGAGGGATTCTATCGTCGAAGGCGATCGAAGTTTTCAAATATTTCTTGCGTTTAAACAATAAGCAGTTTTAAAAAAACGCTAATTAAAAATCGTATAACATAACAACGCTTAAAAATGTTAAGTCGTTATTTCCACCTCTAATCAGCATTATGCGCCGGGCGGGCGTAGTATCATGCATAAATACTTCTCATTTTTGTCTTTTCTTCCAAAATGCAAACTACGACCGCTCGTATCGTCTTGTGCATCAGAATATTTTGATTTCTTTTTAAGAATTCCGAAGAGGCCCACTACAATACATTCGTAGATCGGTTGGCGAGTAAAAGACGACAGTCTGCGGGTGGGACAGAAGCACGGGTCGGCTCGGACCGATCCCCTAGCATCGTGTTAGGGGCTGGCAAACCCATCATTCCACCTAGCGTCAATCCACTAGTGAGTATAACAGATATATTTATATAGTAAAACTTAGGATCATCTTTAGAAAGTTATATCCGATTAGGGTTGCCAACCCTTCTCCAAAATAGAGTATTGTATTCTATAGCATGTAGGATTGTACTCTATAAATCAGCGGTTCTTAACCTTTTTGCCTGGCGACCCAAAACGTAAAAATTATATGAAGTCCGCGACCCTGACATTTTATTTATTTTCCAGTGATAATAAAATAATAGGAGTAAAAGCCAGTAGTTTGCTCAAATTGATCAAGAAAGAATGACATCGATAACGGCGATCACAATGTCTTTTCAAAATTCCCGCGACCCATCTCAATACCGCCCGCGGCCCGGATTTGGGTCGCGACCCGAGGTTAAGAAACGCTGCTATAAATAATATCAACAAAGGACGTAAAAACACTGAAATATTTTTTAATATACTAGTCATTCTAGTCACGCTTATATGATACGTGCCTATTATAGTAAACAAAATATTTTTTTTGTTAAATGTCCTTTGAAATCAAATTTATTAAAAGATGGCAATCCTATCTAAAATTCACTTATAACCTTAAAATCAAACAGTATTATTTTGTTGTAACCTAGCTGTACTGAGAAAATTCATTCATTACATATTACATATTCTAAAGATAAATGATCTAGGATAGAAAAATAATAGAATATGTAAGAAGTCAACGCTTTCGCTTTGACTACGAAAAGATGTTTTTTTTTCTTATTCAAGTTATTTTCTTCAGGGCATCATTGAGTCAACTATTCGGACAATCTGTACATTCGATTGTGTTCTATAGTCTCCGAATCCCGAGATACAATAGATATCAAGAAGAATGTTTTATCAAATATAGTTAATATGTGATTCAATTTTCAATTTTGTCCGTAGTTAGCGCAGTCACTGAACCCACCGAAAAAGTTAGACGTTCCAGAAACTCAAGTACAGACACATTTCGTGAGTCCCGAATTAATGAAAGCCAAGCATACGGTCAGTGTTGAACTGACTCCGACTCGAGTACAACACGATAGGTAATTGCACACACCTAAAAAGTTCCCTAACTTAAATTTTTGTAAGCCACTTTCAAACTTTTACTTGTGTGGAACTGACCTGCAGCCGGGACTCAATACTCAATCATTTAGTACTCAATACTCAATCATTTATTGTCAACATTATTTTATTATCTATAAACATAGAATAGATGTCATAAGTATAAACATGTCAACATATGAACCGATAGAGCAAGACAATTTGGAACGTCAGGCAGATGTTAAAAATATATAAAACAGATCAGTCAGTTTGAGGTCAAGTTTGAGTCAATCAATAACTTTTGTTAACATTATGTTGGCTGAGTAAATACATTTTTGGTTTACCATCTTATGACCGACCATTGCGAAAGTTGCTTAACAACCATAACACAGACTGAGTGCGGTAACCACTGCACCATCGAGATCTTTATTTGAGTACTATTTTTATTAATGCTTAACGGTTATAACTATAAATTATGAAATATATTGGAAATGATTAGTTATATGTAAACAAAAACTATGTATGTATATTAATTTTCTATTTATAATCTGTGGATTACAAGAACCCAAACGCGGGCGGCCATGCCGGAACGTCGTGTGACATTACATTCCAATAAACTAAACGTTAACGTATTTGTTGCCAGTGCCACCAGTACTCATGTTTATTAAAATGTGACGTCGCGAGATATGGTATGAGATATGAGGGTGATAGAGTTTTTTTTGTAGACTACTATAGAGTTAATAATGACGTAACATACTATAAAACAAATAACGTAACGAATAATTATTAAATTGTAAAAAAACTTATTTATATACTTTTTTTTTCTAGTAATGCAAATACGCCTTCGTGTGTTAACTCCCCAGCCGCCTCGGGCGGTTTGGATGAATTCTATGCCGGTACTTTGGACAGTAGTTTCCTAGAAGACTTGGCGCCTATGCCGAATGTAAGCCAAGAGTACGCTTATGAAACAGACAGGTAAATATTTAGGTATTAAATTTAAGAAATGAAATCATGGATTTTTTTAAATGTATTTTTAGGTTTCCATACTCAAAGGGTAAAAATGGGACCCTATTACTAATTCCGCTGTCTGTTCGTCTGTCACTCTCCACTGTACCTCATAAACATACAACAACAAATAGTAAAACACGGATAAAAATAAATATTTAATGGGGTTGTAATGCAATAAACGTGATTTTTTTGCTCGTTTCTAGTATTTTATTTTCATCAGATTTTATCAACGAAACAGCGTTATTTTTAATTGAATAATTAACCCTCAGGATTTGACAGTGATTTCTTCTATAATATCGCATTATTATAGAAGAAATCACTACTAAATTCTTACTTTTCAACCTTTTTTTTCTTTATGTTTATTATTCTATATATTAGTACATAATAAATATTATTAGAGAATAATTTTACGTTATCAGTGATGAAGATACCACCAACCCAAAAGTCAACGTGTATTTAGATGATTTGGACATTAACGGTACTCCGCCATCAGATAATGTCTCAAATCTAAGGACAACATTCGATGATCTAAACACAACGAAAACAAATGCTGATAGTGAAGAGGACGATTTAAACAAGTTAATTAGACGTTCAAGTATCAAAGACAATATTACCACACACGTTACTCATGAAGAGACAGACAGTTGTATTACCATGTTGGACAGCAATCATAATTTAGATATATCACTTGATAACGACTTTCCTCTATGGGCGGGTGATTCGAGTGCGCGAAGGTCTCCTGAAGGTTTGTTTTCAATATTTTCTATACTTATTTATTTTATTAATTAAGACAGCATACAATATAATATATTTTTTGCAGGCGGCGAAGATCCGGATGTCGCTAAAGAAGCTGATGAAAAGGTAACAGTTTAATGTTTTGAAATACATTGCAATATCCCAAAAAAACCTTTTTAATTTTACGTGAGAGTAATTTCATAGCTATCGAGCTATACGAATTTTAATATCCTTTGATAGCCCCATATTTTTGATTTTTCAAACTCGGGCAGAACTTGATAGTGCGCCTTCCCTTCGGCGCCCTCCCATACCATCATACCATCACCAGCCCTTTTACGTCCCCACTGCAGGGGCTCAGGCCTTCCTTATGGATTCCTCCCGCTGAGGCCGAATTTTATATTTCTATTTTTTGTTTGTATGAACCAGGATTGCCATCTTTTGGGAAACGAATTCGGAACATACGGACGGTCATCAGAAGTAATCGGACTTCCGTCCAATATTTATTCGTATAAAAAAATTAATAATTAAGGTCACAAATAGACGTATGATCCACCTGATAAAAAGCGGTCACCTGAATTATTATAAACCATAGGTTAATCATAGCATGTGTATTTTTGTAAACTATTTTTAAATAATATTTTTAATGAGTACAAATGTTTTAACGAATTTTATCAAAATTCGAGACAATATGACTAAGAAATCAAGACGCGGGGCAACATCACTAAAATCGGGACTGTCTCGGAAAATTCGGGTCGGGTGGCGACCCTGGTGTCAATTAATAGTCACAAAGTTATTTAATGAGTCGTGTGCACGGAAGTATAATTAATGATTATATCAAATCATACAATTATATGAAAAGATTTGTAGCTCTCTGTGTGTTAGAGAGAAATCGCAAGTTCGTTTTCAATCTTAATTTTTTCTAACTTTAATGATAATATTGACTATTATACTATATCAAATAACTAGCATTCCGCCAGCGGCTTCACCTGCGTGCATATACATATAAACCTACCTTTTAATTCACTCCGTATATTGATGAAAACCGCGTTAGTACTTTAACTGATATCGGGAAGCGTCTGTACTATTTTTATACTATGTATAGATTGTGTTTCAGATAGAGAAAAAACACAAAAAGAAAAAATCTAAAGACAAAGATAAGGGTGATTACAGCGACAAGTCCGAAAGTAAGAAAGAGAAGAAACACAAACACAGGAAGTCAAAGAGTGATAAGAAATCTTCCAACGCTCAACAAGACCTCTTAGCTCCTATGCCATCCGCAGAATTCAATTATGTGGAATATGATAGCATTTAACTAAGGTTGTATATAATTTATATTCATAAGTTATCCTTGAAATTATACGTCATTATTTTTGAACAATTATTTGAAAGACTTTTCTATATTTATTTACTTTTCATTCAACCATTACCAATTTTAATTCTGCCTCTAGGAATATTGTTGGATGTAATTTTTTTTTATAACAATAATTGCTTTATGGCCAGTATTCTTCAAAATATGTTTTATAAAAAAGATTATTATTTAGATTTGTTGTTGATAAATTGATTTAAAGTTGAGATTTTTATGAATAACAACTAAGTCCTTTTCCTTCTTTATTTGTAAAGAACCTAAATAATTATGATTCTAACATATTAACGAATTATGACATTGGTTTAATCTACATTTGTATAATCTAATAGTTATAATTTGATGTCTATATCATTATTTTCTATAATAATATGCAATGTAATATGTGTTTTGTTGTTAATTGAAATTAAAATATACTTTTCAGATCTAATAATTATGTATGCATGTCATAGAATTATGTAATCATGGCAAATAAAAAACAGTCAATAATTTGGTTTAGTAGAAATAATGTGCACATTTAGGATAGTTTAAAAAAAATTTGGATAAGTAAAGTAAACGGGGATTATTGAAAATAGTATTGTCTGGCACTTAAAAACTGATCCTGGCTTTTTATTGATGCCATCAATCAAGAATTTTACGTTGTCATAATAAGAGTGTTAATAATGAATGTTCACAATAATGGCAATAAATAAAAAAAAATGTTACTTTATCCGTAAGGATTACATTATGTACCAAAAAAAGAAATTTAGTCACATCAAAGAAAAGTACATAAATGCATCACAATCAAATTAGTTGAATTCACAATTCGTAATAAAAATCTGATTCCGTAAATTCAATACTGGGACAAAATATGTATTTATTTTTCAGGAATTTAAGAATAATTTTTCGTGTGTGCGTGTAGGTTTCCACTACATGTGTTATACCGTATTTACAACGCACATAGGTTCATAGTCATTGTAAATGTCCCACCTAAAGCCGTAGCGAAAAGGGGACACGATGTTTGTTTTCCTTATCTTCTCGGCAATATATTCCGCTGATTTGTGGCACGGCATCACGTAGATTTGGCGGGTAACATCAAGTACATATATATTAATCTGTGCCGCACACAGATTATAAGAAAGTCAAAGTGCATTCAATTTTGAATTTCGCTGACAAGACATTTAAGTCTTAAAATCGAGTTAAGAATTTTGACCTTATTTGGGACACTAAATTATATATAATCGTGTAAAAGTAATTACTTGAACAAAACTATGAAATAAACAAGAATTTGAATAAAGAAAGAACTTAATAGTAAGAGTACCAATTATTATTATTAGCTATTAACAGTTCTAGTTTCATTAAAATTCTTTTATTTAAAAGTATTTACTTAATTTATGCTATTTTCTTAAGTAATTACTTCTCTCGACTATAAATCGTTACAACTTCTATTAATGAAACTGTAGCTCAAAATCGACACCTACGTAACTGTTGCATTTAAATCCCATCTATTTCAACTTATTAGATTTCACAAAATAATGATATTTTGAAACTTGTCTTCTATACCTAGTGGGATAACAAACTCCTTAGTTAATATTAAAGAAAGTCAATTCCTATTTTTATCCCACTCAATAAGTACTATTAGTAAAGATAGATGATTTCTAATCCTTTTGCTTCATTATTATATAAATTTAAAACGCTTTAAAAACGTTATACGTGTGCAGTAAAACATTCCAAAAAGTCATTCTAATGCCAGTAATAAAATGAATTGTAAAGTTATTTGTTTTTTAACTTATTTAATTTAGAAATGTAACTGTTAAATTTATTCTTCGCTCATTTTATGAACTAATGCATCGTTCGAATATATCAATCATTGTCATGTATCTATTATATATGATTATTATTATAAGTTTTTAATCATTTGGAAATGTATGGACTAATTGATTAATCTTTTCCTAAATAAATAAGCGAATGACTTAAGTACATATTTACGTTATATATATGGCTTGCCTAAATTTTAAAGGAATCTTAGCCAATGATTAAAGTAGAACCTGAGGTGACCCGCGGGCCTGACCTTCGTCGAAACTGAAGCGAAAACCGTGTGCGTTGAATTTTACACCTTATGTTAATAACAACAAGACTGATTATACATTTTATTCATACATTTGGTTATAATCGGAATTCGTAGGTCTGGTCTGCGAAATTAATATTCTTGACACGCCATATATGTTGCGATTAACTGTTATAGGGATGGTTTTTGTCTGTTTGTCCGTCAAGCAGACTGTTGAAGAATACTAAACACGGTTTTTATTAATTATGGCGCTACATTGAGTTGAAATGTCGCATGACATCACGCTTTTATACATTTTCTACAACAACCTGAGTGAAGAGTCCTCAACCTTAATGCTTGTTATGTAAGCCATTTCTTATTTAAATTGGAGCAAAAAAATACGTATCTAAAGTTTTTCTATTATCTGACTGACGGGCAAAATAGAATTTCCTTTTTTCTCAGTCGTCATCCCTATTGACAGTAGACTAGTAAGGGACTGGAGCGAGAGACGGTAGAATTTCCACGAGAAAAAGACGTTGGTTTTAAAGGTTTCGTTACAGATCCCCATCTCTTCTTTACATTTTTTATAATAATAGGAATTGTTTATGTATGTTGTTGCAATATATTTTATAAATGGTTATGCTTGTTGTAAAATTAAACATTTTTATGACATATTCAGTCGTTTTTTTATACCTAATTATTACATGATATTAGAACAGCTAGAAAAGTGCAATTATAATATGTTGAAATGTAAGGTTATGTATAAAGGTTTGTGCATATCTCACGGAAGATCCGTCGCGCGCGTATCTTCTTTTTGTACTAACGCAGGGTAAACGCCCCTTATGCATCCTCTAATCAGGATTTTCCAACCTTCCCCCGAGGGGTAGTCAGTGTGGTTGTCTTACCTGATAAAACCCGTTACGGAGTTCTTTCGCGCGGGGTTAAGGATCCAGGATCCGGCTTGGTGAGCACCGGACTACATTTACCTTGCACTCACATATACCTCCGACCTCCGAAGCAGTGATATGCTCATCGGTTTTAAGGTGTCGCCATATTCGAGGTCCCAGATTCGTTTCACAGTCCGGTCAATGTAGATAATGAACTTTTCCATGTCTCTGGTCTGGGTATCAATCTGGTAAACTACTATACAATACGATAGCTTTTAGCTGCCATCGATAGAAATTCCATGAGATTTGCACAGACTCTGAGGGTGTAGGTCGATCGATACCTAACAGAAGATCATCGTCATCATCAGCAGCTTATAAATATACCCACTGCTGGGGCTTAGACCTTCCCTATGAAAGGAATCGAATAGAGATAATGGAATATGACTCACGTCGCGGTCCCAGCACGGATTGCCGGGTTTTAACGACTGCAGATGCAGCCGGGACCAATGGCTTGAGGTGTCTTCCAAAACACGGAGGAGCTCGAGACGGTATTTTTATGATCACTCATCCTATGTGACCATAAAAATACCGTCTCGAGCTCCTCCGTGTCCTTGCGAAAGTAGCTTAATAACCGTATGGCAGATCGAGCGTACTAACCACTAAGCCATCGAGCTCTACCGAATATTTTCATTTATATTTACAAGAGGGTAGTCGTGTACGAAGGCAAGGAAGGATACCAAAATGATTCAGTACTTGGTAAGTAATCACGATCCGAAGAAAATGTGAATTCTGTAATTTTTTTTTAATATTTTCTTAGCAGTTATGAAAAAGTTTTACCTTTCTCGCTCTCTTCCCTCCTTCTGATGAAAATTCTGTTAACGCTTACAAAACTACTTTCTAATTAAAAAAATGTCTGCGCTAAGATACGATCATGGAATTACATGGCTGAGTTTTGAATTAATAAACGAAACTATTTTTTGTTCCTGAATTTATAACAGATGGCGGTGTAATTAAAGCGTGCCATGTACAGACTGGGACGGGAAGTGAGGTACTTAAATAGATGGGATATTATTTTGAACAAAAGAAATTTAATAAATAGAGTAATTCTATTCAAAATGTAAATGTACAACCACATCGATATTTTATTGGTTAGATTATAAAAATTGGACCACCTGTAAGAAGTCCATGCAGTAGTTTAACAATATTACAAACAAAAATCTCTACATAACAGAACTTACAATTATTAGTCAACTTTATTTTATACATACTATGGTACACGATTATTTAACATAATATTCGCCTAATATTATAATACATTCTATGTATACTAGATATTCATCATTTTGTAATAAGTTAATAAAATTATAAAATATCCTCTTCAGTTCATTAGGCATTTTATAAGGCTAATGCAGGTCTTGGAAACAATATTTGGTGGTTCTCTAGGGTCTTCAAATACAATATGAAATACCTATGTAACATTAGGTTTGTTTACTATACAAAGCACTTTGTACTTGGCTTTTATCATTAAGACTTTCTTATAAGGCAATGGGAAAAAATGATTGTGAGTACTGTTAAACCCAGCGTTCACTAGGCGTGCCGAAACGGCTCTTCAAATCTGCGCCGACACGTTTAGATTTAGATCACGGCGCGCCTCTAGTGACCGCCAGATTTTACACATTTTAATATAAAACAAAATCATTTGAATTGCTGTTAAATAAATATAACGCTAAGTACTCACATAGCGATTGTCATCGGCGCTCACCGCGGCTGCGGGACCGCCACTCGGTCACAACCACAACGTAATATTAACGTAATATACACTAATCATTTTGACGTCGCGATTTACGCCCGCTATATTAAAGCTGCTTCAATAATCACGCAGGTGGCTGTCGCCTGCAGCAGCTAAATACTCCAAAGCTAAGCGAGTTTTGAATTAAAGTTCCCCCGCCGTCGTGGCGGCGTTGGCGGGCGTGGCGTAAAAAACGCTACGTGAGTTCTTATCCTTAGAATTAAGAAATTTTGCATTGTAAAATATTCAGCCCTCAAATATCCATATTTTTCACTGTAGCAAGATTAGAGCATGAGCTAATAGCTCATGTGTTGAACAAGCTAATCAGTGAAGAATTTCAATTTAATTTCATTAAAGTAATAACAAATAATTATAAATAGTATTATAAATATGCATATGTTATTGATTTGAAAAATACAATGTTTAAAATAAACATAATAGTGTAAAAGTATAAAAAGACACAACCTAGAAAATAAAAATGTGTATTAGATCTGATAATGATAACATTTTCTTATTCATTTTTTTTTATATCGAAATCACGATTTATTATAAACCATAATACAATATTCAATTGGCAAACAACTAAAAAACATACTTACAAAAATGCAAGCAAACTATAATATGCGTCCATAATTTCATAAGTTTACTTTAACGACAGTGTTTTGGCAAATATTTCATTACACAAATTTATGTTTTATAATAACGCCAACGGGCGTCTAGCAAGTATTATTTCCCAGTTGTATTTTTACAAATTCCCAATATAAATTATAGGGATCGAAGAATCTAAAATAATTTCACTAATGCCAAATAAGCACTTCACATTAAAAAAAAAATCAAATGATGGAAAGTTTTAAGTTAAAAAAAAAATTAAAAGATATCGAGATTCCTTTGGCCATCTGTTGCAACAAAATTAAATTACATTCTTGATGTATGTAGCTATCTACATGTACCTACGTACACACTGCTGCACGCCAGGTTACCATAATATGTCAATTTTTTCCAGTTTACTTTGAATTCTACCCCCATACATTAAGGTTCATAATCAGTTGGAGAAATTTGTATATCCTGACGTGCTGTCGATACGTATACATTTATGATTCCCTCATTGATCTAGAACCTACATGATTCACGGGAGTTCACATGGGTCTAATTCTCTTATCATTTTCATATTTTTGACAAGCTTTGAGAATATTGTAAAAATGTAGTCGCATGGTTCTTGAGATTTGTACTTTGTGTATATTAAACTTTGATTTAAAAAACCATAGATACATCATCGCTCAGAAAGTCGTATATTCTATTAAGCATATAGGAAGGTAAGTACAGTAAGTTTCAAATAATATGTGCTATCTGCGCAGAAGACTTAATTTCGAAGCCATGCAAATATGAGCAGCCCGGCAGTGGCGGATTTACCCTTTTCTAGTCGAGACAGAAACTTGATATTGCTTTTACATGCGCACACACATTTTTATACTTTATTATATTATGATTTTAACAGATGCTGAACCCGTTTGGAGGCCCCCCAGGTCCGGAGGCCCGGGACGTACCGCGCCCCCTTAGTCCACCACTGCAATCAGGATGATTAATAATAGTATTGCGCTATTGACGATTCACGCCCCTGACCCCCGCTGAGCGGGAGTAAGATAGATACAATTTCAACATCTGCGGATTTTACTTTACTATTACATATTTTGAAATTTAATTATAAAATAAATTCATGTGAAGTCCGAAAGAGTATTCTTTTAGAACATTTTTACTGAATACTTTTTGATTACGACTCGTCGACGACTAAAGCGAATTATTGCTTAGAATGAATATACATGTTGTATATAGTTTTTTGATCAAAAATATTAAGTCAAAACGAAGAAGATGAACAGTGTTCAAAGTTCGATTATTGGATTCATCAGATCATAATTCAGATTCAGGAAGCTTTCAGTGCCATGTATCTCCATGTTGTGATTTTATAATATCATTTTTTTTTTAATTCTAATTCAGAACGGCTCGTCTCGTCAAATATCTTTCAAGCTAATCATGAACGTGCGAAGTCAATAATCGAACTACATAAATAAAATACATATCTATAAATAGAACTATCGTGAATTCATAAAGCGTTTTTATTCATATTTGTGTGTACCATACGACCTCAACAAGAAACAAAATAAGATATTTTTCAGATAGTAGTAGATATTGAAAATTTCGCAAATCACATTTGTCAAAAATTTGTTCTATTCATTGACATGAATAGTAAAAAATAATCTAAAATATACTGAAAATTGCAACACTGAATAAGTTAATAGTTGTCATCGGAAAACTATTGAATAGTGTACTAAATTTTGTATTTATTAATCGAGATTATCTGTATGCATAAACATATTTAAGTTTTACAGGAGTACTGGCCTAATAAGTGATAAAGGCAATTTAAAATATCACTTTACAAATGTGTAAGTTTAAGACCACCAGTGGACTAACCGCGTAACTGAAGCCCTAAATCATTTTAAGCTGACAGTTCATTGACAGAACAATTAGCGGTGCGACAACTAACCTGCTTACCATAAGATCGACATCTTCGCGATGTTATGGCGATATTTCGTTTAATTTTAAAACTTTCCAGGCCCGGACATAGTGGGGTGTCGAGGGAGGGGGCACTTGCGCCAAAATAATCATTATATAATACCTACTTACGAGCTACGAGCTTTACGGCTACGATGGGACGGACATGCTTCAAAAACCCCGCAAAAATATTATAATATAAAATCCGGCTTCACACAGAGCGTGGAAGTTTCTGCCTTGTTACAAAAAAAATCGGAGATCCAGGCCCGCTACTTTCACACGTACTTTAATAACGATGAACGAATGAAGAATAAATATAACAGCAGTGTTACCAACTTAGTATTCCAAATTTATCCACCAAGAGACATGAAATGAAATTACAAAGCGCCAACCATCGCTAAGATACGAGTATAGGACTATCCTATGTTTAGATAGCTAGATTTTCGCACCCCTGAGCTTCAATTACGCGGTAGAACCAGAAGTTAAGGTTTAATATAACCATTGAAATATATAAGTTCCGTCATTTTTACTGAGATGATTTACTGAGAGCACATAATTATAAAAAGTAAGATTTAATAATAATGATTCATGAATAAAGCATTTTATAATCACCTTCGAACAAACATATTCATAAAAAACATTATTATATGTTAATTAATTGAGCCAAATATTTCATTATTTAAAGAGCTTTTTGAGTTGCTGAAAATCTAATACTAGTTTTGTTATTTTTCAAGCATCACTTGCCCTATTTAGTTCATCTTTCAACATCTTATAAAGCAACTAACCTTTATATATTTCATCATGATTTCATAAGCAAACATTCATTTTATTAATAAGATGAATTACAATCCGAACGCCATAAAAATAGGAATGTTTTATTTGACTGCGACACGTAAGACAAAACTATATTACTATTGCATGTGCATTACAACAACAAAAAAAAAGATAAATACATAAATGTTTCAACAATAAAAATTGAAATAAATATTTATTTTGGCCTCGGTTTATGTAAACAGATTTTGGCATTTAAATAAAGACTCATTCTAAAATCTAAACTCATGAGTATAATCCAACAATATCTAAGTTCATCAATGAATTTCTCTAACTCTTAATATAATTTGTCCTTATAACATATCTTTTCATAGACTATGGGATTGCAAAATAATTTCAATGCACTCCTAGCTTCGTTACTCTTAAGGCTAACTAGATAATCTTATTTACAATGTCTACAAGATAAATTGTTCAAAATCTAATTACAGGCTCACGCAAATTTTCGACTATCATTCGAATGAAGTCGACTGAGCGCTTGTTCTATAAAAGCGAATAGTTCGGAGCGTCAGTCCACACGAGATGTCTCCGAGTAGCCGTCGTCCAAATAACTCGGTAACACGTGACTCAAGTGACCACTCAGAGCGTCGAAGCTCACATTTTGCTCCACGAAATTTTGCACTTGGTGAGGAGGCTCTACTCGAAATTGACCTAAAGTCCACGGATCACTAATATCCTCTGTAGGTCTCCTACCACTATCGAAGGGCGGTAAAGAGTTCCAGCTCTGCGCGGGCGGCGTATTGAGCGTAGTGGGAATGTTATCGACGCGGGGTAACGTCGGCTCAGTTGTGAACGTCGATCCCCACACTAAAGACTCGATACTCGTAGGCGGAGTGTTTATCTGACTGAACCTATCGATACCCCAAGTGTTGGGAATATCCACTGGCGTGTTGTTGTGTATCGTAATCTCGGGCACTTTAGCTACAGTCCGTCCGAACACGTCTTGGGTCCGTCCGATCGATTGCCGACTCTGTCCGCCGTCCGGACTTGGCAAATGACAGTCTGATCGCATCATCGGACTGTAGCCGCCCGCCACACCTGGGCTCTTTTTGTTACTATAAGCGACGTTCTCGACGCTAGGTCTCGGTGAGTAAGGACTGTGATGGTGACGATCTTGTCTCGACATAGGACTGTATCCACCAGGAGTTTTGTTAGGATTATTCCGGATATCGCTCTTCACGCCCAAGCCAGGATCGGGGCTCGTGTGCGTTGAAGGGTGCGGTGAGAATGGAGCGTGATGTTTCGTCATTGGACTGTAATTGCCGGAATTCCACGCGCCTGATTTTTGAAGATCCGGCTTTATAATTTGACTCGTATCAGGACTCGGTTGGGCGGAATATGGACTAGGTTGGGAGGAATACGGACTAGGTTGGGTCGAGTAGGGGCTAGGTTGCGTCGAATATGGGCTAGGTTGAGCGGGACTCGGTTGTGCAGAATATGGACTCCTCTGAGATGAGAATTGATCTTGTCGAGGCATCGGACTTCCGTAACTCCAACTGTTAGGGTTCTTTATGTCTTGCTTCATGCCGATCGTTTCAGGACTCGGTTTATTCTCTAGAGAAGTAGTCGGGCTACACTGTTCGACTATTTTACTGTGCCTAGTTTTGTTATGACTATCTATTCTATTTAAAGGGCTCGCTTCAGATTTATGGGTGGGTGTAGTTTTAAACTGTCCTAGATTCCACGAGTTGCTCTTTATCGATTCTGGTAACACTTCAGGACTGTTCTGTACTTGACTGTCCGGTTTCGGAACAGGGCTAAAGTGGGGGCTTCCCATTGCGTCTTTCGCTTGATCAGACCTCGGAGTTGAAGAGGAATCTGGTCTCAGTTGTGACATTGGACTTAATAATTTCGGTGTATTATTACCAAAAGTGCGTTTAACTTCTGTAGCAGTTGCAGACTCTATGCACTCTTTATTAGAGGCTAGATCACTTTTACTATCCGGTGACGACTTGGTAGTAACTTCGGTGGATACTTGTTTGGTGTTACATTCAGACACACTTTTTGGCTCTTGAAATATTGTAGACGAGGACTTATCTTCGGTAGCAGCTTCCACTTTATCACTAGAACTATCTAACGTTTCTTGTTTAGGAGTTTCTGGTGTTGTCACAATTTTAGAATCAGCCTCTGCCTTCTCATTTTTCTTTTCACTTTGAATATTTTCTTTGGTTTTCGCCTTCTCAGGATCTAAGCTATCTTTCAGATCTTGTAGTTCTTTACCAGTGTATAAACGTTTCATTCCTCTTGGCAAGGCTCTGCAAGAGCTAAGATTTATAGATTCTATATGATGACATCTGAGTAACACTTTTTTCACTGGTGCTAATGACACTGATGAACCACATAAGTTGAGTATTCTGTAAACAAAGAGGTTTAAGTTTAAAGATATCTTTGATATAAGAGTCAATATTAGACTTGAATCGTATTTTTAGATAGTTTCATTCTTTTGACTGTAGTATTTTTACATTTGCTTACATTGCACTGTCTAACAATACAGTATTGAATGTTAAGTGTATTTTGATTGAATCCAATGGTCAAAGAAAACGAAGACAATGCAACTTAAGCGGTAAACATTATAAATATTTCATAAAGACATGTCAAATCGGGCTATGTAATCAGTAGCAGATTTATAACTATTTGGTAATCTGACACGTATTTGGTATTCTGTATATCATACCTGAGTTTACTGTTCTGAGCATCTGCTAGTGCAGATACAGCATCGTCTAGTACCCGTGAAGCAGAAGCCCAGGATAAGTCTAACTCTATCAGACTGTGCGACCACTTCTCGCATATCAACTCCAAGCATGCGTTACTCTGACGAGTCACGTTGCAACCTGTGTAAAGCATATAACGATCTTATCACACAAATAATAATAATCATGGAAATATGTACGGATTATTGACTAAAGAAACAAAGAATAATATACCGCAACCGAGTAAATAAAATAGAGTAACTTTCATTATAAATTGCCATATTACCATAGAAAAATATCTATCGATTGTCTGTAACGTAATAAAATAATATAAAAAAAAACACTGCAATCATCGGTCAATGTCCCCTTACAGGTCCAGCAGCAATACAGTAATATACAGGTAGGTTGAACAAGTATCTGAACGCTGCAGTCCGCGCAGTTTCAGCAGTGATACAGTAATAAAGCATGGAGGTTGGACAAGTATCTGACCGCCGAGGAACAGGTGTTGCAGGTCCCAGGCGGGCACCCGCACCAGCCCCGAGTTCGTGAGCCGCTGCAGCCCGCACAAGTCCAGCAGTAATATAGTAATAAAGCATGGAGATTGGACAAGTATCTGACCGCCGAGGAACAGGTGTTGCAGGTCCCAGGCGGGCACCCGCACCAGCCCCGAGTTCGTGAGCCGCTGCAGCCCGCACAAGTCCAGCAGTAATATAGTAATAAAGCATGGAGATTGGACAAGTATCTGACCGCCGAGGAACAGGTGTTGCAGGTCCCAGGCGGGCACCCGCACCAGCCCCGAGTTCGTGAGCCGCTGCAGCCCGCACAAGTCCAGCAGTAATATAGTAATAAAGCATGGAGATTGGACAAGTATCTGACCGCCGAGGAACAGGTGTTGCAGGTCCCAGGCGGGCACCCGCACCAGCCCCGAGTTCGTGAGCCGCTGCAGCCCGCACAAGTCCAGCAGTAATATAGTAATAAAGCATGGAGATTGGACAAGTATCTGACCGCCGAGGAACAGGTGTTGCAGGTCCCAGGCGGGCACCCGCACCAGCCCCGAGTCCGTGAGCCGCTGCAGCCCGCGCAGGTCCAGCAGTCGCAGGCGCGTAGCGGACCGCACCAGTCGCGCGAGCGCCTCCTCCCCCAGCCGGTAGTCGCCCACGGCCATCCGCTCCGTCTCCGCCTCGCCGGCTATCGATAACTCCTCCAGCTGCGTCCAACCGCCCGCCTCCATCTGGCGATGTTATAGAAAATGAAAACGCAGATCGGACAGCACTAGTAGTACGAATTAATATGACACCTGAAGACCTATACTAATAATCCGGGAACGAAAGAACTTTCCACTTTTAATACATTGATCTGTCACATGTTTCTTTAAATCATGAATTAAATTAGTTTTTGCTTATAATAGAATAATATGTTAGCATCTTTTTATTTGGAGACCAAGGAGATTCGTAATTTGTAAATAATGTTTTGAGCTGTCAATAGCTGTCAATACTCGAATAATTGTGAAGCTACTTTAAAAATTAATATGTTAAATTCAAAGCTTTTACAAATTTATAGTATTTTTTATAGAAACTAAATCGTAAATATGAAACTAAAACAAAAATGTAATTGTGAATATGCATTTTTTGCCTTATGATGAAATAATATATTTTTCGTATTAGATGAAACAAAACGCAGCAAATCATCATTGGGTCCGAATCGCATTCCGGTAGTTATCATAGTACTAATTAAAATAGGCTTGTGGTCCTACAATGAGGAAGTATTAGAAAAAAACCAAAGCACTAAAAAAGCACCTCCACTAGATGGCGACTCTAACAACTTGATTTTTGCAGGAAACCAATGGACTAAAGACAGTCATTTCCGTTCCTTTTAACTAACATATTAAAAAACGGAAATTGGAAAAGTTCGAAACTTAGATATCAATACAAATATGAAAAAGTACAAATAGAATATGAGTTGTTTATCGAGTTTTGAAAACTAATTTACTTTTAAACATGAAAGAAAACCGGAAAGGTTCTCATGGAGAAATCAAGCATGTACCGTAGCGTCATCTAGTTTGATTTCGGGAACTAATGTTTATTTTTTTTAATACTTTATCATTGAAAATACAGGTTTCTGTTATATGTTGGGAAAATATGAACCATTTAACTTTTAAATATTTAACAAAATAAATTTTATACCACTAATTTGGAAAATATTAAGCTTTGAAAACTTGAAAAAAGTAGGGAAATATACTACAACAATACGCCAAAATATATATGGCAATCAGTTAGTTACATAAGACGTTACAACTTACATTATAACAGATATAAACATATACATACATAAATAACAAAGATATTATAAAGATTGCCTAGACTAGCACATACGTTTTTCGCTACCGTAGCACTGTCTGACGTCACTAAATGGCTTGAAGTTGTAGGGAGCGTTAAAGTCCGACTAGCAGCACTACCATGAACATAGCAGCGTATCTCCGAAAATATTAATCGCAGACATGCTGTTGCTTCTACATTATTCATTATATTTTATCAATTTCGCATTCACAATGCTATACTGACAAATATGTTTAATGAAAAATGCTTAAAAAATCCACTTGGTCCCTGGCACCCTGCGGTGTGATTCGAACCCATGACCTTTCGCAATTCGGGCGACTGCTCTATTCACTGAGCTACCCAGGACCTATCCGGACTGATGAATTTTTTAAGCATATATTACTTCTTCGCTACTACAGAGCGTATTCTCATCAATGTACAGGTTACCCATCAATCATCCAAATCGCTAAAAGAAATATTGTTACAAATATTTAAACTTTCAATAAAGATAAAATTGACGGCTTTCAGATGTCATGTTAATTTGTACGAGATATATAATAAGCAGGGATAAAAAAGAAATTCATATATAAATAAAATTACGAAGAATCTCGATGGTCGAATGCAACATTCTTAACCTTTCTAGTTTGCGACTCAAATATAATCAATATTTGAAGTCCGCGACCCATCACGTTTTGTTTATGGCTGTGTTATTACAATAATACCACACAATAGTCTATTGTAGGGAAAAATGTCAATGATTCAAAAATTGACTTTCATTTTGATAAATAAACCTATATACACATTTACCTTCACACCATAACGCATGAATATTCTAACTCTTCATACAATAATTAAATTTACTAAAAAAGATTGTAACTACCAAATGGTTATTTATCACTCCTATTTGAGTAGTTCTTACAACTGACCTGCTGCGAAGTGGTAGCCGATGCTAGAACTAACTGTGAGTTAGCGGCTCTGAAGACTCGTAGTTTAGGGCATCCCTTCTGAAGAGCTTCTAGCGGTATCGCCGCGGGATGGGACGTCGCTAGCGCTCCGGATATGTCTAACACTTCCAAGTTGATGCAATACGTCTGTGTGACAAATAAATATATATATAAGTATTAATAACAAGCCTAGACTGGCTTCGAATTAGCTACTTGACGGTTCTAAAAATTTATGAAATATGTTGGAACTGGTAACTTGTATGTAATCAATGACTATATGGCATTTTCTCTTTTAAAATAAATTGTAAGTAGATTTTATTTTTGCAAAATTAACCTTTTTATTCGCGATTTACAACTGTTGATTACACGAACTGAAACGTGGGCGACCATGTCGGAGCGTCGTGTTACGTCACATTTCAATAATCTAAACAGCAACGTTTTTGTTGGAAGTGCAACCAATACTTATGTTTATTGAAATAAGACGTCACTCCTCGAAAACACTTTTCCCAAAACAATCAAGTAGCTAGAACTGAGTTTGGTATGTAATGAGGAAGTTAAGCAAGTTCCGTAAGGGCCAATTCTAAAACGGGTGACCAAAAATTTATTATTACTAACTCCTACGTAGTTCGTAAGGAACGTCAAGCATTTGGTGCCGCCTGCATCAGCAGTCGGTAACTCCCACCCACAATGGAATAGGGTGGTGGATTATGGCCCGTGGTATTTGATATCATCCCTTGGTAAGGACCTTGCAATATGCATTAATAGGCTGATGATCATGATGTAGATATAACCACAATAGGGTATTCTACTTTGTTTGAAATAGTCAAGTACTATAAGTGTTTATTTTAATTTAAATAAGTCATAAAATAAATATTTCGGAAATATTACACATTTTCTTGCATTCAATTTAAATCTTTACGACTAATCTGATTGATATCGATGACGATTGTGATTTATGAGTAACATCATACAATGGCGGTTCGTGTTTCAAGTAACGTGACGCATATAAAAATTTCGATTTTTAATTTTAGGATAATCCGATAATCATGCAATTTTATGACTCTAAATGAAAGTCTATATGAATATAACAACATAAATTTTAGTTTTTTGTGCATTTTTATGACTTATTTTTCACTATCAAAAGTACCCTATTGTTATATCCTTAATTTTCTTAGAACGTTCTACAACTGTTATAATAAACTTAATATCGTATTTTTAAAATTAATTTATTAGTAAGTACCACTGCTATTCTCGAATAATTAAGACTCATACATTATCTAACTAACGCGACTTTGCAACTTTATTTTGTATACACTATTACAATACGAAGTGTAATTGAAAATAAAACTTGTTAATACTAAAAGCTTAACAAAAATAACTTTTATTATAATGTAGTTAAAGATGACTCACCGCAACAGACGTTAGTATTTGTGGTAACGCACTAAACTTGTTGTTAGCGAGCGTGAGATGAGTTAACCGTTCGCCAAAGTTTTCTGTAAGACGGGCCATAGATGCTGCGGATAAACACGTGCTCGAACCACCCGATTCAGACTGTAACACACAAAATATGGTGAATGAATAGAATAAAGAATCTATGCAAGTTATCATTTGTTCGCTAGTTACAGACCCCAAGGAGGCTTTATGCGGGCTCAATAGGTTATTTTAGTCATTACGACAAAAAATATACAATTGAGATAGATTAGGCAATAAGCAGTCTGAAAATGTAAAGTTCAGTTCATAAAAAAAAAAACAAATTAAAATTTTCAAATCTTTAGTCTGTGGTTTTATTAAACGCGAATCAGTAGTCGCCATGATATGACGTCATTCGGTTTGAAAAGTAACAAGAAAAATTAAGTTTCAAGCAAGATAAATACTTTTTATTTATATTCTAATGCCAATATAAAGGCTATTTTTATTATAATAATACCATGGAACAGGGTTTTCTAAAGGAAGATCGCACAAAATTACCAATAGTAAACATTTATCGTCGGAAAGCTTTTTAATGCAAATCTTGATTTTTTTCTACTGTATTACGAAATGTTAAAACTATTTGAATAAATAAAAATTGCATAAAATGTAAGGAACCAAAACCAACGCGTTTGTTTATAAAACCAAGTGACGACACAACTACATAGCAACATGGCGTCCAGCATTTACGTCCAATTCGTGCGAAATTTTGTTTTGTTTTGTTTCAGTGGTTTATTTATATTTTGGATTGAATTTAACACTTTTTGAGTGATTTACTTCGGCACCGCAGACATCCCTTTGATTAATAAAAGGGATGTCTGCGGTGCCTAAGTTAAGCAACTTTCGCAAGGGTCATAGATATAAAGTACTTTGGTGGCGTAGTGAATAAGCGCCGCAGCCCGCGATCGTCGTTGTTAAGTAACTTTCACAAGGGTTGGTCACGGTATGGGTGACCAAAAAATTATTTTTTCATGCTGCTATGTCGGAAGGCTCCCGGCTGCATTTTCAGTCGTTAATACACTCTAATTTGTATTGGGCCAGGGGTAGGGTCATGGCCCATCATTCTTAACCATCCATAAGGAAGACCCGAGCCCAGTCCAGTGGGGACGTAAAAAGGTTAACGATGAATGAATGATATCTATAAATTATTGAGATAAAAATTATCCCATTTTTAAATTAGATCAAATAACAGATATATGAGATTTTAATTTTATAACAAAATTTCAGTTGTTTCGGAATTTATTAATGAAATTTTTATATAATATAGATAAAGGATTTTATTTACCGTGAGTGATAAATCCAATCTTTGCAGCTTCGGTAGACCCTGCATCAGTTCAAACAGCTGTTCCGGCGTGATACGACTCCATCCCGCTACGCTCAATTCCATTAAGCTCTTACAATATTCTGCTACGCACGCTAGCACCCAAGATACATTGCACACTTTCCACTGAGCTGAAATTATCATAACATAGTATATAAAAAAGTCGCTTTCTGTCTGTCTACCCCTATGTACGCTTAGATTTTTAAACAGATTTTGATGTATTTATTTTTAATAGATAGGGTGATTCAAAAACTTTGTAGAGTTTAATACAATTTAAATTATACGAGTCCTTACAGATATTTAAACTTTGACAATGCGACAGCCGATTCTCGAGGAGCCAAACTAGTTTGTAGTCTGTTTTACATTTTTCTACTGTGTAAGAAGCAAGGTCTACGTTCTTCCATAACTCAGGTCTGCAGCTCACACTGTGCCATAATTTACAAACTCGCCCCAATCTAGAAAAAAATCATTAGTTTTGTAAATAATCAGCAAATATTCACGTTTTAGAAAAGTAATATAATGAAAGATTATATATTCAATTTAAAATCTAAAGCGGGGAATTCACTATACGGGCATATCCACGGGTAAGTTTGCAGACATGCCCGCCGAACCTCGCTACCATAGGTTTGTGTAATGTCTGCAACAGTGAATTGCCCGGGAATTTTCCTTTAAAAGGATTGTTAACATTATGTATTAGCAAGAAATTGAATTATGCGAATGGCGTAAATCAGCAGTGAAAGTAAAGTCTTTTTCACATTCTTAAAATGCTATGTTATAGAGAGAGTACAAAACATCTTTTAACATTACAATCACCTTATAACAGTAGGTAAGGTCCCTTGTGAAGTAACAACATCTTCAAATATCTTAACGAGGACCTCCTCTGGCATTAATTGAGCCCATGGGCTTTGAGGTCCAACATCTTTACTCTCAGCTGCACTAATTCTAGTAGTTCTTTCAGTCTTTTCTGAAAATAAAAATAAGATGATAAATTTTTCGTGAATTGACTCTTTGTTATTTGTGTGTTAATATTTATAGTTGTTACATTTAATGTAACTAATTTAATGCCATATGTATATATTTTCACATCTTTTTCAAGTTTTCAAAGCGTAATATTTTTCAAATTAGTATAATAAATTTATTTTGTTAAATACTTCTTTATAAGTTAAAATGTTTCATATTTAGCGAACATAAAGGAATCTGTATTTTCACTTGTAAGACACATCCCTATTCTGTATTCACAACGCTATCTTAATAAAAAATATTCCTTTTATAAAATATTGAAAAACTATGTACTTACTTTTACTTTTAGAGTTATTTGATTTTCGGGTTTTGGGCGTTTTGGGTATCTTAGGTCGGGAATGTTTCGCTTTCGGCGTGGCCGCACTCATAGAAGCAGCATTATCCACTCTGGGATCATATTCTTCTCCAGAGCTTTCGCTGATCACGGGAGAAGCGGCCCGTTTCTTTTTGGATTTCCTTTGACCAAGGTCAGCAATGGAAGCCGGTGTTGGAGTAATAATCTGTGAAGTTTGTAATCATAAATTTTTACGTGCTCTTAGAGACAGGTTGTACGTGAAGCATTTGCAGAATAGGGTGTTTTTAGAGTCTCAGCAAGATAATCTTGATGTGAGCTTTCCATGCAGCAGATAGGACTAGGAGCCAATGTTTGTTAAAAAAATTAGCGATAAAATGGGTGATGGTGCATTTAGAATTTTCGCGAAGTGTTTTGAATTACTTAATTTGAATTATCAGTTTCAGTCATTTTTCGTTTGAGCAAGGCGTGTCTATATCTCATATTTCAATAAAGCTATACAGTAAATGTTAATAATTATTTAAAAAATATCACTTTAAGCAAAAAAAGGAATGTTCTGTATTATAACTAGAATAATTACTAATTAATTACTACATAATTAGTACATTTATTAAAGCAATTGCTGTCAGGTCCTTAGTTTACCAATTATAAGAAGGCATAAGAGGCATAAGTATTCTTTTATATCCCTTAATATATTTATATACGCAAATACCTAGCGCAAGGCGCCGCATAACTTATATCATAACTTTAGACATTGCTTAATTTAATTGGGTGGTTCTTAGTCAATGGTGAAATGCATTTTTACCTTACGCGATTCCTAAATATTTAGGCGACAGATTTGGGTGGCCCCTTTTGTGAAAACGGTCATTAGTTTCATAACTCTATGATAGAAAATACTTTTATAACAATGAGACTTGGCTGAAATACATTGTAACTTGCCAAGATGACTCGAAAAAATTGTACGGGTATTATTTTCTATGATCATAATTACACTGTTGTACATAGAGCAGTATTACAAATACAAAAAAACTTGCTACATAGCGGAACAAACTGAACTTTTGCAGTAATATTTGTCGTTTTTATTGAAAGGGGCCGAATTTTTTTGTTTAAAAATAATGAAATCTTTATTCCTCATGAAGTAATCATTGTTTTGGTACAAATTTAGTTCAATAATATTATTGTAGATAGGAGACACTATCTACTTAAAGCTATTTTAGAACTTTTTTGGTTAAAAATAAGGTTTTTCTCTTTTAATCAATGATAGTTAAAATTTTCGAGGCAGCTACAAACTATACGACTATATAAGAGATTACATTCATATAAAGACGATAGTTGATGAGTAGTTAGAATAATGAATTTTCTTTGAAGATATTTGCTTATGTTGTACTAGAGATTGAAACTTTTTTATTTTTTATTTATGCCTATACATTAGAATGCAACGTTGCATAGCAGATAAACAAATCCTTAATGATAGCCACCAAGGGCGTGATAAAAATTAACTCACAATGATAAGTTAGTAGGGTACAAATTGATTCTAGATTCTGAATTAATAAATAAGGTAATTAGGTATTTCATTAGGTGATTAGGTAAATAGGTATTTGATTTTATTATTATTCGAGCCATAATAACTATGGTTAGAAATTATTATTTAACTAGGTAATTAATTAAATGTAATTTCAATTGGTTTGTTTCAATGTTTTTCTTATGTTACTTCATAGATGAGTTATGTAATGAAAATGAATGAAATAAAATAAAATCGATAATTTTTTAATAATAAAAATAACCGTTTCCTGAGAATAAAATGAAAGATTGTAGTTTAGTACTATTTCATTGATAAATCCGACTTATACTTATCCCAGTCAAAGTAAACAAGTGGAACATTAACATTAAGGTTACGCTATCTCTGATGGTCCCGGGTTAGATTCCCAGACAGATAAATTTGGAAAATAAACTTTAACATCCATATTGCATCGAATATGGGGTCTTGTGGTGAAACATTTGTTGTATATGCGATATTGTTGAATATTTACCTAATTATTTATTTAAAAGTGAAAAGCGTGAGATGGATAAATAGAGAGAGAGAGAGAGAAAGAGAGAACATGGCCTCCGATCCCGCAACACTGAGATTCCGTAACATTTTTCTATCCCGCACGTGACGTAATTGGAGAAGTGGGAACGCTCGGGATTTTCTAGCCGTCTAATATACCTATCATAAATGAGGAAATTAGTCTTAATGAATACGAGTGTCAATGGGAAAATTTATAAAAGTAAATACATTTATGAATGAATAGCGTCGCGCAGAATCATCATTTTCCGCTGCTATGTATACTAAATAATATTAGGGGTAAAAAGTATTAAATTGCCGTTTAATTGTAATAGTTATAGTAATAGTAATTTGACATATAATCTTCATGGACTTAGGTTTTCGAAAGAAACTTTTTTCATAGGGAAAATGATGTTCTTCTTTTAAAAAATGTGAAACATTTGAATATCGACTTTTAATCGTTTTTGTTATTCAACTTAGACAAGAAAGATGGATACTGCGAGAATTGGAGTGATTTTTTAATACGAGTTCTGACGTGGAAGTAACAGCCCGCAATGTCAATGTAGCGTTTGGGGAGGGGTCTGCTAATGAATGAACCGTGCGATTTTGGTTTAAACGCTTTCGTGATGGAAACTTCGACTTGATGAATGAGCCACGAGGAAGACCGCCCACACAGGTGAATAACTAATAAGAGAGATGGTGGAAGCCGATCCTAGTCAAACTACCCAGAAATTAGCGTCATGGTTTAACGTTGCCTTACCCACAATATTGCCTCATTTGCGTAGATCAATAAAATAAAATAAATACGAACAATGGGTGCCTCATGATTTGACTGATCTGCAGAAAGAAACGCGTGTTGAAACTTGTGTTGCCTTGTTGAATCGGTACAGAAATTAAGGAATATTGGATCGAATTGTTACATGTGATGAAAAGTGGATTCTTTATGATAACCGTAAAAGAAAAATAGAAACTGTTTGGTGGTCTCAGCATGGTGTTATTCACTATAGTTTTCTCTGATCTGGTCAAGCAATAACGGCAGATGTCTATTGTGCCGAGCTCCAAACAATGTTGGCAAAACTAGTAGTAAAACAGCCCCCACTCATGAATTGATCTTCATCATTATTGGTCCATGACAACGCGAGACCTCATACAGCACGAGAAACCGTTTTGACCGTTTTGACCCTTCAGGTCTGCAGTTAGAAACCATTCGTCATCCTCCGTATTCGTCGGACCTTGTTCCAACGGACTACCATTTTTTTCGTGATTTGGACAATTATCTACATGACAAGAAGTTTTCTTCCCAGGAGGCAGTACAAATTGCTTTCACACATTTTGTACAGTCTAGATCCTGAGAGTTCTATTGCAAAGGCATAAATGGCCTTCCTATAAGATGGCAGCAATGAATAGATAATAATAGTAACTATTTTAATCAAATAATTTTTTTAAAAATTAAAAAATAAACAATTTTGATTTTCGTAACAAATCGGCAATTTCATACTTTAACCCTATTATTGTAAAAGGGAAAGGTTTGATTTTTTGCTTGCACTGAATAGACATTACATATGTCTGATATAGATAGACTATAGTTTACGGGTTCGAAATTGCGTGAAAACAGCTAGTAATGCATATAATTTATCCATTGTCGAATGATAACTAATGTGGTTATAATCTTGCTTTAAATAATTTGAATATGAAAGTATTAGTAAATTATACTTTGAATTTTTACTAAATGCTGCCAATTTGTATCACATAAAAATGAATGTGTTGTCTAAAACTTTTATTAAGTTATTCTAGGTAAAAAAAAAAAAACGGCAATTCAAAATTAGAATTTGGTTGATTTTACATAGTCGTCTGATGCATAGTAGCCATTCAAATAGTTCTTCTTCTTCTTTTTAATTAATAATAGAGCTGTATTGTTGTTTTAAAGCATATTGAAAGGAACATGTCTGTCTTGGTGATGTCATAAGTTTTAGTGTAATAGGCTAGTAGAAAACTTTTTTATTTTTTATATAGTCCATAAATATCTGAAAAATAATCTAGAAGTAACAGCATTTCTGCCATTAATATTTTGGAGATACAGTGTTATGTTTGTGGAACTGCTGCTAGATGGTCGAAAACACTGCTACCGTTAGCAAATAATGTATAGGCATCAGGCCAACCTTTGTTATTTATGCATTTATGTTAATAGCTGTTATAATGAACGTTGTGACATTTTATGTAACTAATTTAATGCCATATGTATTTTAGCAACTCTTTATAGTATATTTTCCCTACTTTTTTCAAGTTTCAAAGCATAACATTTTCCAAATTAATGTCATAAAATTTATTTTGTAAAATATTTCTAAGTTAGAATGTTAAATATTTTCTGAATATATAAAAGAGACCTGTATTTTCACTTGTAGAACAATTAGATGATGGGTAGATATGGAGACTTATTTATTTGTTTTTAAGGTCTCAATTAATTGTGTACATTTAAATCCTTCTTTGAAATCTCACTAATCAATGCTTGAAAAAATGTATTGATAATTATGAATTATAAAAGAAATATTCTTGTTGCAAGGTTGCCACTTTTCTTTAAATGAATGTTTTATTAATAAGATTAACAATGGTAGCTTGCATCAAGATAACGAATTTATTTGCAAAAAATGATAAGACATTGGTTCAAGATACTTTGTTTTAAGTTGGCATTTTTAAAGAAAATATTGGATGTGGTTATAAATGTTAAGAGACAAGAGAAATATATGTTTAACATACCTACTTTGTGTTTTTAACAATAAACCTTTCTATCTCTATAATTATCCTCATACTAGTCTTGGGAAATTAATCTTCATTCATTATAATTAACAGGTTTTTTTTATATTATTATTAAATTAATATCACAAGTTTTAAAATTATTTTACAGACAACTATTCACTTCCAAGACTCAATTTGTATACATCATACACTATAAACTACCTTTTGGTTTTTTTTTAATATCCACATATTGAATAGGATTTTATAAACCTATTATAAATATAAATATATTATTGTCTAAACCACATGTATAGATTATTTTCAAAAAATCAGCAAATTAAATATATATACTTACAGGAACCTGAACACTGGTTCTTTTGATCTTAATTCGTATAGTATTCATGTCCACTATCTGACTACGATAAGTAGCAGTACACTCTGACTTTCTGGACTTCTTTTTGCTACGTGAACTACATATCCCCAACATAGAACGTGGTTTACCACTACAAGGCGTCACGGTATAAGTTCGTTTCTCTTTAGAGTCTTTCTTACTTTTTTTAGTTGATAATTGACTAAGTTCATGACTGTAAGGTTTGCCAGTTTGCCGAGGCAAATTAATTAATGGTAACTTTACACTGCATTTAAGCACTTCATCTTCTGAACTTTCACTATCTTCATCTGGGTCCCAGTCTTTGTCATTGTCCTGGCACTCACTACTACTCACTAAATTGAAATTTTTACCACCTTTCACTTTAGACCGCACAATACTATGAGACCTTATGCTTTTTCTTCGTTTTCGTTCTGAAGGAAGACTACCATTGAGTGTAGACTGGTCTGAATCTCGTCTTGAATGCTGCTTATGTTTTCTATGACGGGGTCGCGGAGGCTGAAATGCTCCATTAGCCACCTGCTGTTTTTGATGGGCAATCTCATCAATGCTTTGCTCAAAGTCAGTTTCAAGTTTAACACAAGAAACGGCATCTTCGTCTTCTGGTGTCGTGGCCGCATCAGGTACGACAGGTGTGATCTTCTGCAGGCAGGCCTCGGGAAATAGATCCTTGCGGACAGAGAGCCTCATTGCAGGCTCTCCGCTCGCGGCCTCGTAACCGCCGTTCACGGGACTCGTGCGACCCGACATGCCGCCCGCCTCCCGCCGCCCTCGCGTACCACTTCTACAAACCGCTCACCTGTCCGCGAGGTAAACAATCAGTTTGACACATCACATTTTCACTTTTGTGATTCGACGAATCACCGATCGTTATGTCTTACTTCAATTCAGTTCATGATTGTCGACAATCCATGCACAAAACATTATAATTCCTTAACTTTACACTCTTTGTGATAGTGAGAAGCATCCTTTTTCTTCATGTATTCGCATTTTAGGTCATCCATGTTCATGTAACGTTGTGATTGCGAAAAACAAAGTACGGATCATTTTCGCGGACACTTGCACTTGTATTTTTGGTTGAAAGCTGAGAAATGAATATTCTTTGAAACCACAATCATAATATGCACTGATTCCTAATTATTTTCGTCGATTGTGAGTTGATGAAAACTGTTGACCTTGTTTAGAAGCTTATTATGTTTCAAATTTCAATCAACAGATGCAGACATTGTCACAAAAAAAAGTTACTCAATGCGAAACAAGTGACTTTGGTAAAGCGACATTATAACACGTCAAATCTTACACTATTTTTTATAATTGACATTGAAACTAGATTTAGATATCCTATAATGATATAAGTTTCCTTAAAATAAAGTAGCCATTAAAAGTGGCCAAAAATTTGTTTTCAGTAATTAACAAGTTATTTAAAGTTACAAATAAACCACATGACAAGTATAACAATATAATTTAAAAAGCATAATGTCGTGATGGTCACTCATTACTACGTATTTCAAAGATACAACGCTAGATGGCGCTACGTGTATAATTTACGGAAATTCAATAGCCCGTAAAATTTTGTTTGGTTTCTCTTTCTCTCGCTCAAATCTCTGAATGAATGTTTAGTTAACGTTGGTAAAATCATAGAATTTATTTCGTTTTGAATTAGTTGTGTTTGATTGTTATGATAGTTTTGATAATATGACGATAATTCAAAAGTGTGTGTGACTAGTGAAGTTGTGACGCAAATTGTATTGTATGACGTCTAACAAGATGATATTGATAACCTGCACGGTCTTTCTGTAACAGAGTACTTAGTCTGGTGAGTCATATTTATTTATGACCAATGTATCGATGATATCATCATGATTATTAGTCGTTACTTATCCACAACCTACCTTTATATTATATACTTAAATTTATTTAATTTTTACAATACTGCCTTGTTTGTTATGATTATGTGCATTTTCAAAAACTTTTTTGTAACTACCCTCATTCTAATTATTTGCTACTACCCTGAAATTATAATTAAACGTTCTTCAGAAGTATATTGATAATGTATTTTTGGTAGCAAGTCAGTCAAATACTGTTTTTTATACAATGTATTATTTTGATTTCAAATTGTCCAAATGAAATCATACCTATTTTTCTTTAAAGATAAATGTTTTCAAAAAAGAGCATAGTAGCTATTCCACTGTCTGTTTGTATAGGGAACAGATGAGAAATTATTTTTGTTAATAGTTAAGTATTCTCATCTGAATAATCCAAAACACTTGTACATATCAGTAATGTTCAAACTCATGCATCTTTGTTTGGAACTGAACCTTGAAACTGAAACATGGATTGGAATGTGACCACTTTCATTTAAGTTCTTTTTATTCACCAACAAAATTGTTAGCATGTAAGAGATGTAGATATGGCAGTATGCACTACAGTAAGCACCAGTATCAAATATTAAGATTGTAAAATATTAAGACTGTACATTGAATCATTATTCTTAGGCCATTAGGTGTCCTAGTCAACAGCATATCTGTTTATCCAAATATAGCAAATATTGGTAATAAATCCAAACCTAATTTTTTGAGTATTATAAGAGTAATTAAAAAAAAAACTGCTAATTCAAAGTCACTATCAACTTAAACAATTACTATTGTTGAAAAGTTTTAAATGTTCTGACAATGAGTTTTATATAGGTCGATTTGGTCAAGCATTTATTTAATTGAAATTGTACCCTCTGTCTGTTGGCCAAGTGATCTTTAATGTTTTTCAGTCAACCCTTGGATTATATAGTCAACAATACAGTCAGTTCATTGTAATATGTTTAATTTTGATAAACAAATGTAAAGCTTAATTTCTTGAATTTTTAAGCTCAATGTTGAATAAATTATGAAAGTGGTAATTTGAAGTCATAAAACTAGTTTGCTATTACTGAGCATTTTGGGCTATTGATGAGAAAAGCTATGATTATTTTATTAAAACTAAAAACAATAATTCTAAAATAAATGTTAGCATAACTAATATCACATTTTAACAATTAATAATATCAACATATTTTAGTAGGTAGTAATAAATTGTTAAAAAATATATAATTTTGGATAACCTGATGGACGATTGGACAGACTGTCTGCATTACTGTTTGCAGTATGTGTAGATGACTGCAGACTGTCCATCAGATTGAAGTTTGATATAGCTGATGTCAATCATACAATATCTTAAACAATTATACTCAATTTGGTTGTACCGTTTGCAAGTAATAAATTATTTAGTGCTAGTTTTCCGCCAGCGGCTCCGCCCGCGTGGGTCCTAGGGAACTGTTTATTTGGATGTTGATATGATTACAATGACAAATTGAATAGTAAACAGTGGTTACTATGACAAATTTTTAAATCTCTAAACTTCCACTCCCGTTTTCATCTCTTTTTTGTTGTTTTTCAGGATAAAATTATAAGTAGCCTATCACCGCAAATTATGTAGTTTCCCATAGATGAAAGAATTTTTAAAATTTGGCTTTGTAGTTTCAGAGCATATTCGTTGCAAACAAACAATAAATCAAAACTTTATTATTATATTTTTATAGATTAAGAATTTTCCCGGGCGGCCTTCCACCTCAATCAGTAAAGAAAATGTCAAAAAAATTTACATGCCGAAGGGGCCGACGATTATCGGATACGAGGGTCAAACTGAAAGTTCTTAGAAAATCAAAAACTGATTACATTAGCCAGTTATTAGTTTTATTATATCTTTTCAAAATATTGTCCATTCACGTCAATACACCGCTGCATGCGATGGAACCACTGGGAAAAGCACTTTGCCCACTCGTCCTTAGGGGTCTCTTCAATGGCATCGCGATACGCAGCCACCGCTTCTTCAGCATTCATAAACCGCTTTCCTTTAAGTTTTTCTTTAATTTTTGGAAATAAATAAAAATCACAAGGCGCGAGGTCGGGGCTATACGGCGGGTGACCCAGTAATTCAACGTTTGATGTCGCCAAATAGTCGATCGTTCGCTTGGCGGTGTGCGACGAGGCGTTGTCGTGGTGAAGGAGGATCCTACTGCGAGGTCGTTTCTCTCGAACTTTTTCCAAGACAAGTGGCAAACAATTGGTAGTGCACCATTCTGCAGAAACTGTTTTTTGATCCTCTAACACAATTGTTGCAAAATGACCTATCCTTCCAAAGAACAAGGCCACCATTTTTTTTCCCGCACTTCGATCTCTCTTCACTTTAGTTGGCAACTCCTCGAAAGGAAACACCCACTGAGCAGATTGTCTTTTGGTTTTAGGATCATAACAGTAAATCCAGCTTTCGTCACCTGTTAGTATGTCGAACACAGCATTTGAGTCACCTCCGTTAAATCTTTCAATCATTTTACGACACCAATCCACACGATGGAGTTTTTGAGCCTCAGTCAAATTATGAGGTATCCACCGGGCACAAAGCTTCCTGACCGCTAAATGTTCGTGGAGGATTTTGTGCACTTGACTCATATCGATGCCTAAGCTTGTCCGAATCTGTTGATAGGTCACTCTTTTGTCAGTCTCTATCATACGCCGCACAACACAGATGTTATCTTCAGTCGTCGCCGTAGAAGGCCGTCCCTCACGTAAATCATCAGTGAGATTAGTGCGACCACGTTTAAACTCATTAAACCAGTTGTAAACAGTCGCACGAGATGGGGCTTCATCGTGAAAGGCCAATCGTAGTCTATCATAACTTTCTTGTTGACTTAAATGACATCGAAAGTCATAAAAAATCATTGCACGAAAATTTTCTCGTGTTAAATTCATGATGACGTGACACAGACAATTTTCAATTTGCCGCCAAATCGTAAAACAAATGACAAATGAATGAAATATATACTCAGTAATATTGGCAAAGAGTTATATTTTCAAATTTTAGAATTATTTTTTTATTATATTGTTTATAAGTGGCCAGTTCTAAGAACTTTCAGTTTGACCCTCGTAATATTATGCAGGTTTAATTCCAAAAGCGCGCGCTGCAGCGAATGAAAAACGTCGAGGAAAATTGTCATGGGGCGATTTGTTTCTTCACGATAACGCTCCTCCGAATCGGTTGGAAGGCAAACTGCAATGCTGGCTTTGAAATTATTAAACACCCACTATATTTTCCGGACTTAGCCTAGTGATTTTCAGTTGGTGTTTAACCTATAGTCGTTGGACTAATTTTATTGACCTGCTGTAACAGTTGATTCTCTTCTGGCAATCGTTTGCAAAAATTGATCCTGTCTTACACTTGTAATGCGGCTTGGTCCTAGATGTCACTCCGCCACTTTGTTAGTCTAATGATATCGTGACCTAAATCTTGAGATAATGCTTTGCTTTGAGCCAATAGCTCACTGTATGAAACCGGCTTCCAATGTTCCTATGGCTCCTAACGTCTCCACCCGGGGTCAAATTTGTTGGTGCCTTGATGATAATTAAAAATAATAAATTATAATATTTGGTTTATGTGAAATCATAATATTAACTCTGTCTTTTATGTAACCATTTCTTCTCTACATTTCATTTAGTAATGAAATGTAGAGTAAGCCAATTTGTTATAATATATTTTGAAGCGTAAATCTTTTTAATTAGTCGCAAATATATAGTGTTGTGCCGGGTTCGATGTTTGGACGAATTAATGAAAGGCTCACTAAGCTTGAGAATTGATTTATTTTATGATAAATATGTAAAGGGTAAAGAAAAACCCCTTTGGATTTGCCGTGATACGTAATCTTGGACGATATTTCAAGATATAATTATATTTTAAATAATATATAATTTCTATTTTAATCATAATAACTTCATTATTATAATATTTTATATTTAAATTTATACGATTTACTATAAACATGTTCACAACAGAAGATTTTTTTAAGAACTGATATTCATAATGAGCATGTTTGATTAGTCAAAATTTCAAATTACGAAAGGTGAATAATAAAAAGAAATGATGTTGACTATCAAAGACAAAAAGTTTGCATGCGGAAACCTAGGACGAAATAAACGGTGGTACGGCACACCATTACAGTGTTAACACAAACGTTTATTATTTTCATATAAAACCTTCGGATAAGAGATAAGGGAACATATTCACTCTTACATACGTTTCGGACCATAACGTTCTATTAAACAAATTTACATCTTCATCTTATTTAAAACATGTCATTACCACATCACTACTTTATTAATAGAGAAAAAAGGCTATGGTCTTATAATCCAGTTGCTGGATCATCTCA